ATGAGTATATATATATATATATATATATATATATATATATATATAGCATTTTTCTCTTTGTGCATATCTTGATTAATTTGTCCTCTATATCTACCAAATGCCTGAATGCCAACTTAAACTTGTGATGGTATAGCAAAAGAGGAAGTAATAAATTTTTATTTCCATGATCGGCAGCTTTTGAATTATGTTTTTGTAGAATTTCTTCAGTTAGCCTTTCTTCAATATGTTGCATTATTCAGACTTAGTTCATGCCTGATGACAGATCGCTTATTTTTTTTTTGGGAATTAAAGATTTTCACGTTCACTATTTCTCATCCACAAAGCATTGAAACATACCTTCACACCCAGAATTAGGGTACTACCGCGCCTGCATGCAATTAACTCATTTGGATAGTGTGAACTCTTAAATATAAGTGCATATGCTCCTTCAAGCTGCCGGATAACTTCTATGACGACTTGGCTAAAAGTGACAGACTGATCTCCTACAACACAGCAAGAAGCAGTATATGGCAGCAAATTAAAAACTTGGCATGATAACTCAGTAAAACATAAGTATTAATTGCTGCTATGAATTCAACACATTCTTTAGGATAATCAAAGAAATTTGGTCAGGTAGATGAAGGAATACAAAAACAAAAAGGTCAGCATTAAAAAAAAAAACAAATATTAAAAATAAATGCAAACCACCTCCACGTGCTTGATCGAAAACAAATTTGGCAAGCTTAGGTATAACTTCAGTATCAGTATCTGATTCGAATGTAAAACCATGTCGAATTAATGTCTCCTTCAATACCTTTTAAAACAAAACAAAAGCAGAGTTATCTTTCATTCAGGTTATTAACTTATGGATCAAACTCCTTAGAGTACCAAAATTACAAAGATAAACATTTGTACAAACCTCATAATTTGTTATAATACCATTATGAACAACCAAGAACTCATCCCATGAGCCCGATGATTGCGGATGACTGTTCCTTGGAGAAGGTACACCATGAGTAGCCCATCTTGTATGGGCAATCCCAGCATGAACCATAAATGACTTCTCTAGGTCCAAACCCATAGCATCCACTTCTACAAATGCCGAGAAACATACAAAAAAATGTCATTTCCTGAAGCATGTCTTACAAGGCCTTTACTATAAAATGGAAATATAATCATCAATAAGAATGTTTATGATTCTTTCAGAATTAGAGGAAGGGAAAAGATCATCATCTTTAAATTATCCAACTAAGTCTTCAAGTACATCGTGAAAAATGTGACTCAAGGTGTGTTACTCTCTAATGCATAATAAGCTATGCAATAAAGACTTCAGGACATAATGTTTTCTACTGTCAAGATACCCTGTGCATATACAAGAATGACTATTAGCAAACCAATACTTCACCCTTTAAAAAAAAAAAACACTTCTGTAAAGGTAGGAAGTTAGGCCGAGACATACAAGTAAATTTCAAAAAAATAAAATAAAATTTTACTATCCTATTGAAAGTGTAGAATTAAAAGGAAAAAAAAACATAAGAAAAAAAAAAAACAATAAATCTTAAGAACCCAAAGGTTTAAACTTTAAAGCCCCTAAAATGATGGAAATCCCACCCATCAAGTCTAATAATACAACTACAAGAACTAGATGAATTTGGGCTCTAAAATAGGGAAAACTCGAGTCTGTAGTATACATTATTACAAAAGCATTAAAATACCATGAAAAAAAAAAAAAAAAAAACTACTTAGCAAATGTGTTAAACACCAAAAACTGAACAAAATTGGACAAAAATTAAAATACATTGCCACAACCCTAACCCCTATAAATAAGATAAGAGAAGACCAACATCAGAACAAAACTTGACATTAACATGGTAAAATGCCCACTCTAACTCCTATGGATAAAACCACTTCAATGTAAAAAAGAATGTTGATTATCATCATCATCACTATCCTTATTCCAATTATTTGAGGGAAACAAGAGTGTTAATGATAAGTTAATTAGAAACTGATTTGTCATTCTATAAAAGTATATTATAAATACACTAATAAAAAGCAATCATCAAGGTGGAAAATATAGTACATGAATGTGATGCGGACATCCAACCGTCCATGGCTATCCGAGGAGCTGAAGATCAACGGCTGTCATCGTCCCACGTTATGTTATATTTTATTTGTAATTTTTAAATTTTTATTATAAATTTTCCGTTTTTACCCTCACTTAAAAGGGTCGTCCTATGTAAGCCTTAGGGCATATGTGTCTTGTTTTAGTTTCTTATGCCTATATATAGAGGCCCTTTCTTGTGTAATGGGATGATGAATTGATAATGAAATTTTATTCTACTTGTTTGATCTCTTAGTGAGTTCATGAGAGGAGAAGGATCTCTTTGTGAGTTCCGAGATTCCCAAGATCTCTTTGTGAGTTCTTGAGTAAGTGGAAGGATATCTTTGTGAGTTCCGAGATTCCCAAGATCTCTTTGTGAGTTCTTGAGGAAGTGGCGCTTGTAGATCTCTTTGTGAGTTCTATTGGAGGTGTTGCTCGAGGTGTGTAGCTCCAGATTTTCTTTTTCCTAAACCCAATTTATTTCTTCTCTACCTAACCAAACTCTCTTCCTCCCAAATCCCCTCCACCGGCCCCCACAAGTCCACCGCCGGCCACCCCAGGCCAATCCCGCCACTGGTGGCTCCGCCGGCCTCCTTGGGACGGCCAAGCCACCGGCCTCCCTCTTGGGAATTTCAAATTTGAAATTCAAATTTGTTTCGAAGAGGCATTAAAGACTTTACTAAAATAGTTCCTTGATTTAAGGCTTTCATATTAATTGGATGTCAATTTGAATTTGAAATTCAAATTAATTCTAATTGATAGCCCCATTATTGGAAACTTTCATTTCTTTCAAAATTTGAATTTTAATTCAGATTTTATTAAATCTTTGATTAGTATTGTGGGCCCCACTCTACTTATGACAAATAATCTCCTCCCTCTCTCTATGTGGCCGGCCCCCCTCATTGGGCATAATCTCTCTCCTGTCTCATTAATAGCCCCCCTCATTAAGCCTCCCTAATTACCTCCCACAATTCCCTCTCATCCAATTTAATTCTCTCCATTAAATTTGAATTTAAATTTAAATTCATCCCGCCAATTCCACTTAATCTGAAATTTAATTTCAGATTTTCATTCTCTCTCCCCAAATTGATTTAGGATTTAATTAATCTTGCCACCTAGGCAAGTAAATGACATTTACGTTTTACATCAAAATGTGCTTACAAACTTCCAGGCCCTCGACATAATTTGACCTCTATTTTATAGTTCTGAAATATAAGTTTACATAAGTTAGTAATCTAATTGAGATTTGTAAAATAAATAACTTGAAATAACTTGCAATTTGCATGAATTACAAAAAATGCAAAAATATGGGTGAAGGCCCCTCACTTGGTAAGATTAAACCATAAAAACAATCTCCATAGCTAAAACCAATACCAACAAAAATCTCTAGTTACAGATACTATTGTAGATACAGATTAACCGGACATAGGAATTTTTCTGAAACTTCATATTTTATAAATAATGAGACCTTGTTTTTAGCATAAGCTGTAGAGTTTTCCATGGTTAATGTATTTTACAAAATGAGTACTAATTTGAGAAGTTTACCAATTTTATATAATCATAAAGAAAAATAAACCTCCTCAAATTGTGTTAATGAAAAAGGTTTTAAAATATTTCAAACAATGACTTCTTGTCAAAAATAAGGTGGAATGCATATAGCTCCCTTGATTAGGCGAGTTAACAATTAGGCCAATTACATTATCAAATTCCCCTTATGTTTCTAAAGTTTTAATAATTCTTAAATAGGTCTTTTAGTTCAATACAAAGATGGAATCGCCCTTTTTAAAATGTCTAAATAGGCACTTTATGTTACGACTTGTAGTGGGACTATTATCATCAATTTTTGTGTATTCATACGTTCTCATTTCTATATAAACATTGAAAGAATGGCAATCCCCTAAGTGTCCAGGTCCCTATTTATGTGTTTTTGTCTAGTGTTTGCAGTAGATAAAACTTAAACCCTCTTCCTTTTGTAGAAATGGATATATAAATGGGCAGAGACAACGGAGGGGAAGGCATTTGGTTGTTGTTGGCCACCAACATTTGTTTATGAGTGTCATGAAAAGGGGTCAAGGAAGAGAGAAAAAAGTTAAAAGGCCCTAAACGAAGGATCATAACAGAAATAATTTATACAAATCCTTTTGAAAATAGAGAAGTTTTAATAGTTAATGAAGACAAATACCCGATATCAAACTAACTAAAAAATGAGGAATATACCTAAACAAAGTATTCGAGGTGCAACAGCTTAAAGGATAACATTGAGAAAGCAATGTTCTCAAGCAAGCAGCCAAGAGAAGCTTACATGTCCACTAGAAGGAACTATGAGAAAAGATGCTTCATCATAGGTAAAGAGGAAGAAGCTCAAATGGTCAATTTAACTATCTTTGCAGCATTGTGCTTCTTAGCCACAGATATCCTACAAAATTGCACCAGTGCTATTCCTGTTTGCATTATGCTTGTAGGTATTCTATAATTTTCTTGGCGTTAACTGCAATGTAATAAATACATTTAGGTGTAACTACTTTCATGTACAGCCTTCGACGATCCTATCTTAACTTAGCACATAAAATGTGCAACTACACTTTTCATACAGAAGTCACAAAAGAGCAAGCCAACGCCTCTTAACTTCATACAAGTATTGAATCTTTTTAATTTCATAGCCAGTACACCCGATTCTTTCGGCGTCAGCCAAATACAATGCGGAATAAGCCTGTTAGACTCTCTAGGCCACAATCTAACCCTTAAATGCATCAAGAATCAGAAATCCAACTCTACTCAGAACAATTCCACAATTCATTCCAAATAATTCACCAAACAACATGAGCAAGAACCCCAAATTCTATCGTCTACATGGTGCTCAAATAATTACAAATAAAACAACTAACACACATGAAACGGATAGAGTAATCAAATCAAAATAGACAAAATAAACTCACATTGCAACTAAAACAGCACATCTGGTCATTAAGGATGCTCACCTGAGTAGACCGATCTAACAAGCGACTCGATCTTTCCCTCCTGCCGGAAAACAAGCGGCAACGCGGAGGCGTAGGGCCGCTCCCCCTCCCCCGCAGCAGAAGAGAGATCATTGTCGATCGCGATTCCCGACGAGTCATAGCCGCGGTATTCGAGTCGCCGCAGCCCGTTGAAGAGGACCTCCATTATGTATCTCCTCTCCCTCGCAACATTGTAGTTCAGGTACGCAAAGATCCCGCACATCTCTCCTCCCCCTCTCTATCCCGATTTCTCACTCCAGTAATGGATTTCTTCTCCGATCTATTGGCCAAACAAACTATTTCTCTAGATTTGGAGCTGGTATTTATAGTTGAGGTTTTGAAAGTTAGTACTTGACATTTGCATTTGATAGTAATCACAATTTTTGAGATATGAAAGAAAATATTGCTCGTGTTGTTTTTCGAACTTTTTCCAATTGAATTAGAAGATGTACTTTTTTATTTTTATTTTGTCGACTCTTCTCCTTGTTCCTCTTATCTTGGGCATCTCATACTAAAATACACTAAAAATGAAGCCTATCTCGATATATATCCTCACTAAACACTCAGTTCAGTTTTTCTTTCTTCTTTCTCAACGGGAGCCTTCCTAGGGCCTCGATTCCTAGTGGCTATGTTGCACTCAAGGATCTATATTGGAAGAATTGTATTTGTTTTTCATTTTAATATTTAACTAGAGCTTATCAAATTCTTGTGAACAACAGAAAGGAAAAAAAACATGATTGCATTTTGTCTATAATTGTAGGTAGAAAAATTATGCATGTTGTCCAGAATCTCATATCATATGATCATTATCCTTCTCTGAAATATATAAAATTATATAATGAGCACATAGTCAAACAAATAACTAAAATCTTACAACTAAAGTCAATGCAAGATAAAAGAAAATAATATGTTATAAATCATTTAAAATAAATAAATACATCAATATCTATTCTGATTATCTATATTAATTTATCATTCTATCATCACACATCTTAATCCATTACATCATCAATCATAGTACATATCAGTTACAATACACAATATAAATATTAGTAGCAATATTAATATCATGATCAATAATATTAAATAATATTAATGATGATAAAAGAGAATAACATGTTATAAATCATATAAAAAAAATATATGCATCAATATATATACTGATTATTTGTATCAACTTATAATTCTATCATCACATCTCAATTTATTACATCATTAGTCACATTATCCATAACAATCAATAATATTAATGTTAGTAATAATATTAGTATCATGATCAATAACGTAAAATGGTGTTAATAATAATAATAATAGTGTTAGTCACAATATTAGTATAGTGTTCGTAATAATATCAATATCAATATTCAGATATTCAATGAGTGTATCTTAAGGTAATCTTATTGATGCACTTATGACTCCAATTTGTCGCCTCTTATAACTCCTAATGAATGTACTCCTTATAACTCTCATTGAATCATGTGAATTAGTCGCCCCTAACTCCTTATAACTCCCAATCAATTTTGAACTCGTTATCATTCCCAATCAGCGAATCACATGGATCAGTGGGGTATCACGTGGAGTTATTATATCATATATCTGAGATCATTCAGTACTTCATTTAAAATATAATAAAATTATACCAAATCATTCAGAACTATCAAATCTATAACATATCCAAACTTGTATGATGAGCTCATGAAATCAGGAGATAATGCAATATTTGTAAATTTAGGAGAGATAAAATTCATAGAAATCTAAATCATCAAAAATAAAAGTAAGAGATAAGTTACTTATAATGAATAGAATAAAATTTGCAATATAAATTGTTAACAAATTTGATCCAAAATCTTTTATCTATATTCTCTCTTCTTACCCTCTTTCAAATTTTTCATGGCCAAGCAATCAAGTGAGGGAGTCGGTGGGGTGAGGTAGGTATATTTATAAATATATAAATAAATTTTGTTCATTGTGTAGCATCGCAACGCTCACCAAATCAGCTTCAAAGTGCTCTACTTTCGAAATTTCATATTTTTTAAATAAATTTATTTTAAATATTTTAATTATTACAGGCTTCACTCCCTATTCCGTTGAAAGCATTATAGGAAAGGAGTGGTTAGAAAGGAAACCAAAGGATGTGGGGGCAAGTCAAAGGCACTAGATGAACATGAACAAGAATATACATTGCTCATGGCATGATAGAGCTTGCTCAAGAGCTAACTAGGATAAGAAACCTTTTTAACTTTATTGTGACATGGTATTTATTACATATGTATAATTCATATCTAATTAGTTGAAGACTTATGTTTCATTTGCGTCAGCTTTTAGCCAATATTTTTTTACTTCTTCCATAAAATTTTTGTACTAAAAAATATTATAAAGCAGTAACAAAGCTGTCCCAAACAAAACATTAATTTTACTTTTGTTGCGTCCTGGAGTATTCGCGGCGGTAGAGAAATATACAATTTAACGTCATAACATTGTACGAATATCCAGCACACAATCAGATAAGAGAGAGGGTGTATTGTTCATAAGAGACACCAGAGTTTCTACGTGGAAACCCCTGAAAAGGGGGAAAAATCACGAGGCCTAACCCAGGTTGAATGAATCCACTAGTATTTGCAGTCAGTTACAAATGAAGCCCTTCCTTTGGAGAAGGTTGTGGCTTGATGGTACAAATGTATATCATATAGAGTATATTACATGGTGGGTTTACAATATAAACATGTTTGTTTGGTCAGCATGACCATAGTCGATATGATAGAAGTCAAAAAGATCGTTATTTGGTGATGAAGGTCTGAAGGACCGTAATCGATGATGGAGGTCAGAAGAACCGTAGTCAGTAGGAGATGGGGGTCTGAAAGACCATAGTAGTATGGCGGTACTTCGGTAGAACTCCAGGCATCAAGCAGTGGTCCGACAGAAGTTTGGGCCTCAAGTGGTGGTCCGACACAAGTCCAGGCCTCAAGTGGTGGTCCGACACAAGTTCAGGCATCACGTGGTGGTCTGGGATAAGTCTGGGTCTTATGTAGTGGTTCGGCAGAACCCAAGGCCTCATGTGGAGGTCCGACGGAGCTCAGGGTCACAGGTGGTGGTTCGACGGAGCTATAATATTAGGCGATGGTTCGGAGAAGGTGAGGGCCTCAAGAGGTGGTCCGAAGAAGCTCAGTGCCTCAAGTGGTTGTCCGGCGAAAATCCAGGCCTCAAGTGGTTATCCAGCAGAAGTTCGGGCCTCAAGTGGTGGTCCGGCGGAAGTCCATGCCTCAAGTGGTGGTTCGACAAAGGTGAGGGCCTCAGGTAGTGGTTCAGCAAAGGTGAGGGCTTCAGGTGTGAGGGCTTCAGGTGATGGTCCGGCGGAGCAACGACGTCGGTCAGTGGTTCGGCGAAACTCAGGCGGTGATCGAGGAAGCTTCTTCCTTCTCTTCCTTCTATTATTCATTCTTTTATCTTCTTCTCTTCTTGCTTGGATCCCTCCCCTTTCAAGAGAAAAGAGGGGTCTATTTATAGATTTATGGAGTGGCATGGCCTGTAAATAGGTGAGAAATCAAGGGTAAATGGGGAGTGGTTGGATGGACGGCCGATATTGAATCCCTTAATCAAGAATCATTTGATGGACATTTGAATGCCTTAGTGATGTCAAAATTTGATGATGTTGGACTTGTTGGATTTGTTTCGTCGAGTCGCTCGATTCAACAATAAGCACGTCATGTTTGAAAACCGTTTGGCAATCGAAATTGTGGTTTGAACCTTCTAACAATGCTTCTAACCCTTGATTTAGACCCGTTTGGGCTTGGAATGGGTTGGATTTGATGTCGTTGGGTTCGTATTCTCTAGACGCTCATTTCGACTATAAGTTTGTTGAAATCAGAGTTCGGATGATTCCAATTTTAATTTTGCCACCACTTAACGCCCTCGCCTCCGCCGAACCACCGCCTGACATCGTTGCTCCGCCGAACCACCACTTGAGGCCCTCACTTCCGTCGAACCACCGCCTGACGTCGTTGCTCCGCTGCTTCGCCAGACACCACCTGAGGCCCAGACTTCTGCCAAACCATCATCTGAGGCCCAGACTTCCACTGGACCACTACCTGAGGCCCGGACTTCCGTCGTGCCACCACTTGAGACTCTATGCTCCACCATGCCACTACCTGAAGCTCGAACTTCCTCCGGACTGTCACTTGAGGCCCCGAGCTCCACCAGGCCATCACCTAACGCCCAGAGTTCTACCGATGTACCATCTTTCTACTACAGTCTTTCAGACTCCTATCTCATGCCTACTACGGTCCTCCCGACCTATGTCGCCTACTATGGTCACTCCGATCTTCATCACCAGACAACGGTCTTTCAGATCTCAATCTCCTGCCAACTACGGTCTTCCAGACTCCTATCTCCGGCCGACTACGGTCCTCCCGACCTCCGTCGCCTACTATGGTCCTTCCGACCTCCATCACCAGACAACGATCTTTCAGACCCCAATCTCCTGCCGACTACGGTCCTCATGACCTATGTCACCTACTACGGTCCTTCCGACCTACATCGTCAGACAATGGTCTTCCTGACCCCAATCTCCTATCAACTACGATCTTTCGGACTCCCGTCTCGTGCCAACTATGGCATTTCCAACTAAACAAACATGTATAATATTATAACTCCCACTATGTAATGCGCTCTATATGATGTACATTTGTACCATCAAGCCAATGTATTCTCCTAAGGAAGGGTCTCATTTGTAATCGACTGCAAATACTAGTGTATTCATTCAAATTGGGTCAGGCCCTGTGGTTTTTTCCCCTTTTTTCAGGAGTTTCCACTTAAAAACTCTGGTGTCTCTTATGAATGCTACACACTCTCTCTTATCTGATTGTGTGCTGGATCTTCGTATAATGCTAAGACGTTAAACTATATTTTTTTTCTATCGCCATGAATACTCCCGAACGCAACAAATATAAATAAGGTTATAAAATTATTATGATAATTAAATATGATTAAGTAAAAAAAAAAAGAAGGAAAAGGCAAAGCCGGCTTGGTCTTTTTAAATAAAGTAATCCATGTGATGGACAGTTCTTCATCACATCCTGAGCACGAATCATGATGTGTGATGGACGGTGATTATTATTTAGTATTTATTATGTGTTTTGATTAAAATATTTGACCTTTATTTTTATTAAAAAATCTCGTTATATATTATATTAATTATCGTTCTCCTCTTGCATGCGTGCCACTTACCACGTCGTAGTCGTTCACAAATTGCCAGTTGTAGGCAATAATTAGCCGGCCTGCACCATTTTTGGCTCGCTATTTTTTTTTTTTAATTAATAGGACATAATAAGGATTTATGTGAGGTGAAATTATGATATGAATGCTAACACGTCATGTCATTCGTTTGGTGTGTATAGTGTTTGTGCAACGGGTGACATGACGCATTTTGATTGGCCTCCGAACAATTTGGTGTCCGCACAAAATAATTTCTCTTATTTGACACAATTTTTTTACTGTTTTTTTACTTTTTAAAGCAACTTTCTAGTGTAAAAATATTTGCACTAAAAAGCTGCTTTATAAAGCGATAAAAAGTTGTCTCAAATGAAACCTAAGGCTTTGTATGTGATGACTTTATTAGTACTTTTTAAAGTTACTTTTTAGTACAAAAATTTTAATTTTTTACTAAAAAAATAATTTAAGAAGCAGAAAGAAAGCCATCCCAAATAAGACCTAAGTCTTTTTGAGATAACTTTATTATTGCTTTCTAAAATAAATTTTTAAGATATTTTTTTAAACTAAGAAATAGCTTTAGAAATTAAGAAAATTGTCTTAAAGAAACATAACTTAAATTTTGGCTTGAGATTTGTGTGAGAAATGAGAATACTGAATAATATTTTTTAATGATTTAATGGGGACGCACCACTTGGGCTATATATAATAATGGAAAAAATGGTTCTCTATTTATTTAAGAATAAAAATCTATTTATTTTTTTATTAAATTAATCAAAATTAATCAATCCTAAGATAGTACAATTTGAATAAATAAATGATTTTTTCTAAAACTTTTGATAATTATTGTTTCTTTTCTTGTTGGAACCTAGAGTCCGTTTGATGAAGCTTTTTAATTATTTTGTTTTTCAAGTTACAGCTATATTTTTGTTTAACTATTAATTTCTTGCTATTTTTTAAAATAATTATGGTTACAAATTGTTTTTTGCAATAAGATGCAAGCTTTTTTTGGGATGATTTTTTTTTTTATTACTTTTTAGTACAAAAATTTTAAATTTTATAATAAAAATTTGTTTCAAAAAATAATAAGAACGCTGTCCCAAACGAAATCATACTAATTTGTGACAAAGAAAGCTGCTATTTGACTTTAATATATATTTATTATGTTAGTGTTAGCTTGTTATTTTTGAATTTACATAATTAGAGAGAACTTTCATCTGAAAATTTTTTAAAGGAAAAAAAAAAAGATTTGGCTCAAAGGTAACATCACAATTATTTATTATTTATAAAAGTGATTATGAATTTGATTCACATTTGAGCAATTGGAGTGTACTTAGTACTATGTGTCAACATAATAAGAGTCATCATAGTTATTATTTATGAAGGATTTTTTTTTTAATGTCTTTATATATCTATTTTTTAATTTTAATATTTATTTATATAATGCTTAGTGGCAAATTAAATCACATCAACATATATGCATTCAAAATATATTTTATTTTAAATAAATTTATATTAATAATATTTCAAAGCTAGGGGTGTCAATTCGGGTCAACGGGTCGGGTTCTGGTCGAACCCGGAACTATTCAGGTCAACCTAAACCGACCCATTTTAAAAAACAGGTCAGGTTTTCGGACCTGAACCCGACCCGACACGAATGACCCGGAGTTGACCCAAAATTGCTAGTTTTTGGGTAAAATTCGGGTCAATCTTTGATTTTCGGGTAAAAAACGGATCAATCTCAGGTTTTTGGGTAAAATAAGAGTTTTCGTGTCACTTTTGGGTCAATTTCGAGTTGTTGGGTCAACCCGAGCCAGACCCGATTTTTAAAACGGGTTGATTTGTTGAACCCGAACCTGACCCGTTTCGGGTTCGGGTTGACCCGAACCCTGGTTTGGGTTGACCCGAACCTGAATCTTTCAGGGTCGGGTTCAAAAATTGACACCCTTATTCAAAGCTATTTAGATAATAGAATGTTATATGAATAAATATAAAAAATAGGTGTTAATATATATTGTCAACAATTAATTACTTCTAAGAAAATTTAAATTATTAAACACATTTTTAAAATTCATTAATAATAAAAAAATATATCATATGCTTCAATAAGAATATGATTTAATTAAAGCTTTAAAATTTAGTTTTAAAAAAAAAAGTTTGGGTACTATTTTAGTATTTTCGTCTACAGCAAGACTATTCAAAGCTATTTAGATAATAGAATGTTATATGAATAAATATAAAAAATAGGTGTTAATATATATTGTCAACAATTAATTACTTCTAAGAAAATTTAAATTATTAAACACATTTTTAAAATTCATTAATAATAAAAACGGCATCAATATGCTTCAATAAGAATATGATTTAATTAAAGCTTTAAAATTTAGTTTTTAAAAAAAAGTTTGGGTACTATTTTAGTATTTTCGTCTACAGCAAGACCGACACCTGTATCAAGCTTCACTGAAACCGGTTCAGCCGGCCCCGCCATGATCAGGCCTTATGTGAGCTCCTGAAAAACTAATCTTGATTTATTTATTTATCCTAACCTCCTTCTAATCATGATTCCCTAATTATTTTTCGGACCAAATCAGCAAATAAGCATCTGCCCTCTCCCGCCGGCGAAGATATCGTCTGATATTGAGAATGTCGTGAAGGTGTTTGTCGTTATGCCCCAAAGAAAACAGATCTCTCTATCCTTTTTCTCTATTCCTTCTTTCACCACCAGTCTGGATTTGATGTGAAGCCAAAGGGGGAAGAGAGAGATAGGAAGAAACAAATAAAAAGTTTCAATCTTTCGTATTTCTACTTCTTTCATGCTTTGCATCACCAATCTGTTCGGCGTTGTTAACGGCTGCCATTGATTTTTCTTCTGTTTAAATTGCTTTGCCGTGGAAGACATGGCGCCGATTCCGAAATCAAAGAGGCTATATCAAGTTTGGAAGGGAGATAATGTTAGTAACTTTTTTCATTTTCTTTTTCTCTATTGGTATTGCTTTGATTTTATTTGGTTGCAATTTGTTCAATATGTTTTTGTTTTAAATCAAAAGGTTGACTTTGTTTGTTTTTCTGATTGCAACTTATCATGTTTTTGTGGAAGATTATGATGAATGGAGTCTTAAAGTTGTAAATTTTAAGAGCAACATAGTTGGCAAATAAGTTCCAGTATAACTTTAATCATTTGCAGTAAAAGTTTTTATTGATAATAGAAAAACCTCTTTCCAATCTGCTCTCCATAATAGAAAAATCTCTTTCCAATCTGCTTTTGGTTATATTACTTATCTCAGGATGTTCTGAGTAGTCTTCTTTTCTGGTTATATAAGTTGAGTGTCTGTTATTAAACAATCTGTTTTTTGAATAAAATCTATCTGATTTTTGGCTAAATGTAGATGTTGATTTGCAAAACATTGCTGTGATGTAGCACAAAAACTCAATGAATTTTTAGCAAATTTGAGACTTTTTTTGTTGTTTATTTGCAGAGGTTCTTTTGTGGAGGAAGATGTATATTCGGTCCAGATGTGGCTTCATTATTTCTATCCATGTTTCTGATTGCTGGTCCTATTATAACATTTTCTTACCAAATAATTTCAAAAATTCGAAATCGTCAGAAGCACCATGAAGATTTGATTCACGAGAACCACCATGTACTTGGGCTTCCAGTTCTAATTGTGACCATAATCGTCATGATTGCGGTGAGTGACAGTTTCCATTGTATCATATAGGATCATAGCATGTTTTTTCTTTAACAAATAAAATTGTTTGTATACGATGTAGGATTTGACTTTCCTCCTCCTGACCTCAAGCAGAGATCCAGGAATTGTACCAAGAAATGCTCAATCGATAGAATCATCAGAAACTTCTGACTTTAACACTCCTTCCATGGAATGGATCAATGGAAGAGCCCCACAAATGAGATTGCCTCGTACAAAAGATATTATTCTGAACGGTTTTGTTATCAAGGTAAAATATTGCGACACTTGCTTGTTGTATCGTCCACCTCGCACTTCTCATTGTTCAATCTGCAACAACTGTGTTCAGAAGTTTGATCATCACTGCCCATGGGTTGGTCAGTGCATTGGACTAGTAAGTTGCCAAGTTCATCATGGTATTTTTTCAATAAATGAGATCAACAAGAGTTCTAATTTGACTTGTTATTATTGAATACAGCGGAACTATCGATTCTTCTTCTTATTTATTTCTACTTCCACTTTCTTGTGCATATACGTTTTCACTCTTTCTGTCGTGAATATTCTGCAAGAGAGGAAACATTATCACTCTTTTCTGAAGCTGGTTGTGGGGGAGATCATTTCAGCGATACTAATGGTGTACAGTTTTTTGTCTGTCTGGTTTGTTGGTGGGCTGACTGTCTTCCATCTATATCTGATCTGCACAAATCAGGTAATTCTATGAAATGTTCTTTAAATATGCAAAGAATGAGATTCATTTCAGGGTCATTTGATTGCTTGAAATTAGAAAAATATGCTTTCAAAGAGGGTGAATTTTTTTAATTCCGTCATTTAAAAGCCATTTGATTGCTTGAAGTTAGAAAATATGTTTTCAATGATGGTGAATTTATCAGATTTCATCATTTAAGGGCCATTTGATTGCTTGGAGTTAGAAAATATGTTTTCAAAGATGGTGAATTTATCAGATTTCGTCATTTGGCTAGATGCAGCTCGAAATCAGTTTTGATTTACACACAAAATGAGTGAAAATAAAATCATTAGTTTTTAACATGAGTTTAAACATTGAATATTAGGATAAAAATTTTTCATTTTAAAGAGTTGAGTGATTGAATTGATTCATAAAAGAGTTGAAGACTATTTTGATCCCTCACAAAGAGTTTTGGAATCATTTTGACCCGTTTCTCAATATGTTAGCATTGATGAGTTATTTTATGCTTGCAGACAACATACGAGAATTTTCGATACCACTATGATAAGAAGGAAAACCCATTTAACAGGGGTATATTGAAAAACTTCAAGGAGGTGTTCTTAAATATTCCACCTTCAATGAACAAGTTTCGAGCAAGGGTGCTTGATCAAGTTGTTGAATATGGAGCGCTTGCTCCAAATATGGGCATGGATATCGCTAGCTCTACTGAGAAGTTTGATATTGAAACAGCCGATAAGCTTGAAATGGGTATCAACTTACAAGTTCCTGCTGTGAACTTAGATTACAGCTCCATCAATGAAAATCAAGGAGCCATTAATAAACAGAAGGGTGAGGCTCTTGATCCGTCAGATTTATCTAAGATTCAGGAAAATAATTATCAAGAATCAAAGGAATTTAAACAAAGTTGCACAGGAGAGACTGAGACTGAAGATGAACCTGTAACAGTTTGTGTACCTGATGAAGATATACAGCAGCAACCGATATGAGGTAACTGGACTTACATGTATGCATTGCTTAGTGCATTTTAGTGCCCATAATCTGCTAGTCATTTGATCAAGGTGGTGGTAGCATGGTAGCTTGATTAAGGCTTCGTTTGGGACGGCTTTCTTACTGCTTCTTAAAGCAGTTTTTTTGTATAAATTTTTAATTTTTGTACTATAAAGTTGCTTTATGAAGCAGTAAGAAAGCCGTCTCAAATGAAACCTAAGAGTTAAAAAAAAGTTGTAATTCTTATACCGAAACAAGATAACGGCAAGCACATCAACACAATCCACTCTAGGGACCACAAGAGGCTAATAGCTAAACTTTATGATGGAAGTAACTTCAAGCTACTGTTTTAATAATCTAATTAAGATTCTCACTTTACTGCCTGTTGGTCAAATCCACAAAACCTTGGACTTTTTTCCTCATGTTCAACATTTTCAAATTTTTGAGCAAGGGATTTGGACTACTTCTAGGCTGCCATGGTTGATATTTCAGCTAAGAATTTAGAGGTAAATTAGTTTAGGATTTAACTATGACATTGAAACCTTGCAGTAGCTACTTACCATAAATTCATTTTGCTCAGGCGCGCAAAGCTCTAAGTTCCATATTTACATCTTCCCCATATTTTGAAGCAATTGCAATTATTTTTACTGTTCCATTAAAAAGCTTCACAACTAGTGATTTTATAGTTCCAAATGACATTCTTACTATCATTTTTTGCACTATCTACTGCTTCTGAATCAGTTCCTCTTTTTTCTTTTTCCAGCAGATGAAGATGATTACTTCCTTAGTTATTTGCCCCATTGGTTTTCTTCAGCAGATCAAGTTATTGTCTTTCTTTATTCATATTTGAACCATCAATCTTGCAGTTCAAAGTTGTGAATTATGGTGCAAAATCCAAACTAATTGAATATATCCATTCTTCTCTTCAATTACTCAATATTTTGAATGCCCGGATCTAATTTTTTTGTTATTAATCACATTTGGAGTTTGGAATATAATCATAATCAGTTAGATTTAGATCAATAGATGCAGATGAAGTGCGAATTTTTTTCTACATTTAAATTTTATGTTTTCAATAGGATCACTGGTAGCTTTTGAGTACATAAATGTATACAATGTTTGATAGTTGAATGAGATTATTTCACATTGCAATGGCATCTTTGTTGAGCAATAGCTTTAAGTTGAAGTAGCCTTAATGTCGGCCGAATGATGAGATTTGTGAGTTTGTTCATGAACATAAATGAACAAATCAATCGATACTCAAAATTTGTTCATTTATATAATGGGATTTCAAAATTTCATTCGAATTTGTTCAACTACATACATGAACGAATGAATTGAAATGAGTCTTATAAATTCAGATGCCATGCATAATTATACCAAGGGGGCTGCTGCATACCTTCATAGAAATCATCAATTAGAGCTTCAAATCAAGAACACCTAAATAATTCAAATTCCAGTGTAAGATCCTAAATGAGATTTAAATAAAATTTGTACTTTGTGAAGTCAAAGCTCTGTACCAAAGCCATTTGAGCTGCAAATTCAGCTACTGTTCCCCAAGATATTGAACAGGCCTGAAGAGCGACATGACTTCAGCCTAAGCCAAATTTTCTTTTATTATTGCATAAAAAATTGGTTAAATTAAAAAAAAAAGTAGAAATTTTTTTTTTCAAAAAAAAAAAAAACTTACTATTTTAAAGATTGAAAGAAGAAATTTTGTTTATATTTTGTCTAGTATTTTTGCAATGTAAAAAATGGCAAGGATAGCTAAATTAAGTTCAAATGAAGATCGCCTTATTAAAATAGATCAGGAAAAAGCCCCAATATTGGTTGCAGATGCCGGGCAAAGTTCCCTTTTCTTGAAGAGAGTATGTGGAGGAGAAACAAAGATTCATCGATGGCTTGTCTTTTTTCTTCCAAAACAGCATGGCCCCTAATTCCAGCTGAGGATGCAGCTGCACCCACCGCTGCTTGTCCAGGCGGTGAAGAGCCGGCTGGGCAAAAGCCCAAGTCCCTGATTTGAATCCCTTGGCAAGCAGTGAAAGCCTTAAGTGTTGGTGTAAAATCCCTCCAAATTCTATTTTTTTGAGAGCAATTAGTATGTACGAACTGACCTTAGTACGGGATGAACTGAAGAAAATTGTGAAAATCTGTATGGTTGGTACGTACGAACTGCATGTATGAACCTGAGTTTGTCCGTACGAACCTGAATTCGTCCAGGACGAAATTTGTCTAGAGCCCTTCGTCCAGAGTGTTCGTCTGGACTAAAATATCATCCCGGGACGATGGGGGGTCGTCCTGGACGATCATGCTTGATAAATATCTGATTTTGATATATTTTGAAGAGAGAGAAAAGCAGGAGAGGAAAAGAGAAGGAAAGGCTTGGTTTTGAAGGCCGCAGAGCGATTTTCGTCCGTCGACGCAGTTAAAAGATTTGTTTGTCTTGAAGTAAGGAATCCGAATCCTATTTTTGATTTAGAAGATTTTGTGTTTTGATATTTTTCTGCTCAGTTTTGTGTTCCTGTTACCGAAAAATGTGCATATTTTTATATTGTATTCGTTTTCTTTAATTCAATTATCATTTTTGGATGTCTATATTGATCTGAGAAAGAGAAGAAAAGTATGCTGATGAATCCTTTCACTATAGATGTCTGGGACGTCAATGGCCTGTGTAAATTGGTGCATGTGGGTTGCATGCTAGATCAACCGGAGTTTTTACTAGCCTAAGGACAATATATAATTCCTCGTTACAAAAAAAAAAGAGGATGCAGCTGCAATGGCAAAAAGGCAGCCATGGCAACATCTTAGGGAAAATTATTAGGTCAGGTCCATGGACGTGTTAGGAGCCCAATGAAAATGCGTCACATCACCTCCTACTTGGTACTGAGCAGTACCAAGCTTAGTACTGCTCAGTACTGAGCTCAGTACTGCTCGGTACTTAGTACTTCATAGTACCGAGTTCAGTACTGCTTGTACTGTGAATACCGAACCTAAGCTGTATTCGATGTCCGAACCCAATAATCTCTCACATCTTAGAGCTTCCTATGGACCAAATAAGTCATTTCTTACCATATAGGACACTGTTCACCATATAGGTATGTAACCAGTGTAGGGGTCCCACACCATGGATGACCACAAGTTTCATTGGTGCTTGGTTTTTTACATTGACCTGGGTGACTAAGGGTTTGGGACGGAGCTATCTAATACAAAATAAAAAATTGTTGTACTAAAAAGTTGCTTTAAGAAGTAGAAAGAAAGCCGTCCCAAACGAAACCTAAGTCCTCTGGATACAGCCACCTGAGAAATGTGCTCCTTGGACAAGCCACTCTTCTTCATCATGTTCAATATCTTTGCCTGCCATTGGACCTGGTACCATAGATTGATATCCATATGAGGTGGGCATGAACCCACACATAGGATTAACATATTTTGTTTGGTCATCCACAAGAGTTGAGTTATGCGTGGAATCTGATTGTGGTGATCAAACGGGTTGTTTTTTTGCCTTGAATCTCAAGTTTGTCATACTTGATGGGCGGTGCAAGGGATTTATCCCCTGCTTGGGTTTGGGTGTAAAATTTTTTTTTCTTCGTAAAACGTCCCGACGCTGTGTACCCTAGATCCTCGACGCTGCGTACCCGAGCACCCTGAAGCTATGTTCCCAGGCGGCCCAGCATTGAACGATAGAGAGCATATCACCACAGCGGTCTAGATATGACGCCATGACGGATCAAGACAAAGGTTCAATATCTCTCATGTAATTGAATGAGGAGCAAACAGTCTAGCCCTAAAAATTAATGTCATCATAGAGATATCACCGCCAAAAACTTAAAAGCATTTACAATCATGTCAAAATTGGCTGATCAATATTCGAATGTTCATATTAAATTAATACAATATGTATCATTGTATCAATCTGCATAAAATAAAATATATAAAAAAAACTTTTTACATGCCCAATTAATTAGTTTCAATATTTAATTGATAAATCTTCTTAAAAATTAAATATTTTCATGAAAGAAAAAGAACTATCATGGGACATAGTCTTATCCACTTTCGGAGAGGATCTCCTCATAGAAATTTGTTCCTCTATTTTAGGTGAAACACACAATTTGCATGGCTATGCGCATATAGCCACATGACTTCACTGTCAAAGCGTAAGGAAGAGAATGAAAAGTTGGTAAGGAAAGTGATGGTTTGAAGTTTGAACAGCTTAGCTTTTAATTGTGTGGCACTTCTAAGAGTTTAAAATCATAATAAAAATTGGGATTGTGTAGAATTTTGGGGCTATATGATTGAAAGTTCTAAGAATGTATGTGTAAAATAAATGTAATATAATCAAATATATTTAAGAAAATATTGTCAATAAATTAAGTGAATGCATGAAATATATATATATATATATATTGTTGCGTCCTGGAATATTCGCGGCGGTAGAGAAATATATAGTTTAACGTCTTAGCGTTGTACGAAGATCCAGCACACAATCAGATAAGTGAGAGGGTGTAGCGTTCATAAGAGACACCAAAGTTTTTACGTGAAAAACCCCTGAAAAAGGGGGAAAAACCACGGGGCCTGGCCCGGTTTGAATGAATCCACTAGTATTTGTAGTCGATTACAAATGAGGCCCTTCCTTAGGAGAAGGCCTTGGATTGATGTAGCAAATGTACATCATATAGATTGCATTACATGGTAAGAGTTACATATACAGGTTTGTTTGGCCTGAAGTACCGTGGTCGGCAGGAGACCGGAGTCGGCAGGAGACTGGAGTCGGCAGGAGACCAGAGTCGGCAAGAGACCGGAGTCAGAAAGACCGTTGTCTGTTGATGGAGGTCGGAAGGACCATAGCAGGCGACAAAGGCCTGAAGAACTGTAGTCGGCAGGAGACCGTAGTCGGCAGGAGACCGTAGTCGGCAGGAGACCGTAGTCGGCCGGAGACCGTAGTCGGCAGGAGACCGGAGTCAGAAAGACCGTTGTCTGTTGATGGATTAAAGGACTCATTTGGTTAAAATAAATAAGAAATTGTTTGTCAAAAAAATGATACAATTTATTAAATTTTTTAATTAATTATGCTATAATATTAATTTCAAACTTCACAAAAATATCATAATTAATTTTATTTAATTTGAACTCTTAATTGATTTGAAAGTTTATACCTTTTATTATTCCAACTTTGTATAATATATGTTTTTTTTTTTTTAATTTAGAAACAATCAAATGATCACAAAATTTTACATATGTAAGGCTATTTTATTATAATTTCTAAAATAAAATCTTATAATATAGAAAATATTTTATTTAAAAAATGTTAGAATTATATATAGACCATTTAAATTTTAGTTATTTGCAAAATTACTATTCATATTATTTTTTTATTTCTGCGTGCCATGATAAAAGCGGAAAATACATATTTGAATGTATTGTGAATTCTGTGTGCCAATTTTAAAAATGAAGATAAGAGACTCATAATTTTATAAATAACTAAAATTTAAATGTTCTTTATGTAATTGCCTAAAATTATTACAGCTTGAAAAAAAAAAAGCATTTAATTTAAAATTTTATGGAAGATATCATGACATCATAATATACTATGCATTAAATAAGCATATAAAATAATATTTATTTTAATATAAATAATAATTTTAAATATCATTATTAAATAAAATAAGAATATTTTAGATTTTCATTTTAATATTATGAGTATGCCCTAAGTGGGCCCACAATATTAAAGGAATGTGTAATTTAGTGGTCGAAGATTAATTTAGTGATTTAGCACTAATTATTTCAAAAAAAAAAAAAAATAATAGTATGGCTATTGGATGTGTGGGCCCACAATGCCACCTGGATGCAGGGATTTGTAGTTTTGTCATTATCGTAGTTTCATAGGACCTGAATAGAATTCCTTTAAATTTTGGGCCACTCGCTTTAAGCCTTTAAGTGTGTCACATTAGCCACATGCCCCCCTAAATTTATAAGTAATTGTCTTTCAAACCTTCAATTGTTTATGCTCGTTGAAATTCAAGCCTGCGTGGTGCTGACTTGACGACCGTCATATCCTTGTCAGCTAATTCTTCTTTTTCTGATAAAAAAATCTTCATTTTATTTAGATTTAATATTCAATTAGCATACCCAAATTTAATAAGCAAATTTGTCTTATATTTTTTTTTGACGATATTCAAATTTTAAGAAATATATATTTAGCTTTATTTTTTCTAAAAAAATAATCATAAGTTTTATTTGAATTAAAATATTTCGGGAAGTTGAAAATATGCTTTAGTTTATATAAGTGACATTTTGGGCAAAAAATTACTAATTTTAGCTACTTCTCGCGCGTCTGACGATTCTAGCTCGGTAGTGATAGTTTAGAAATCAAATTTCAATGTAGTTCATGTGAGTAGGAGATTTGGAACTCGTTGAGCTCTACCAACCATTTGAGCAGTCTCTTAGAGTGACATGCCTTAGCAAGAAGTATAATATTGAAAGTGTGATTTGTCACCACTTGAATAGGATGGACATGGAATTAATTAAGGGCACAACCTTCTTGTAGAGCATACTAGTGCCCATTTGAGCTTTTCTATGATTGGATACTACTATTTTGTGCCTCTAAGAATATGGCTGACGTAATAGAATGACCACCATTTTCTCCCCGTTTCTCTAAAGATAACGTAACTAATGGCATCCTCACCAACCCCTAAGTATACCAGTTGGTTTTCGTCTAGTCGTGGGCTTTGGAGGAGGAGCGATAAGATGAGAAGAAGATGCAACTTATGGAAAGCAACTTTGTATTCCTTATCCCAAGAGAACTTCTTTGTGCTTATAAGGACTTTGAAGAAAGACGAGCATCTCTCATCAATTTGAGAGATGAAGCGATTGGCCTGAAGATTCGCTCAGTAAGTTGCTTCACTTATTTGGCCATCTTGGGCGACTTCATTTTGGGTATGACTCTCGCCTTGTCAAAATTGACCTTTATGCATTATGACGTAAGGAGAATTCCTAGGAGTTTGCATGAACCCGCCCAAAAGTGTACAATTTAGGGGATTAAGCCTCATATTATATTTCTTCAGAATGGAAAATATCTCCTTCAGATCTTGAATGTGTTGGATGAACTGCTTGCTTTTTTATTAGGAGGTTGTCCACACATACCTCAATATTCCTCCCATTATGCTCCTTGAAGAACTTATACATCATTCAGTGGTAGGTCACCCCTGTAACCTTCGGCCATTAGCCATGATGAAGGTTATCTTCTCACAATCATATGGATGCATTTTTATTTGGTGTAGCCAGTGAGAAAGCATCCAAAAAAGTCATCACTGGGTAGCTATTATCAATCAACTAGAGTGTCAATCCTTGGTAATGGGTAATCATTCTTTGGACACATCGAGTTTAAGTTAGTGAAGTTCACACACATCTTCATTTTGCCTGTCACCATTTACATCACCACCACATTAGAGATCCAATATGTGTATCGTACTTCTCTGATAAAGTCCATAGTTAAGAGATTCCCCACCTCTTCTTGGATAGGCTTAACAAGTAAGGTGAATGTCTTTCTAGTTTTTTGTTTGATAGGGTGAGCATCACTCTTTAGTTAATGACAGACAACTTCTTCACCGATGACTAATATCTTTGCAGTCATCCAGGCGAAGACATCTAGATTGCTCCTAAGTTATAACTATTATTATTGTATTTAGCATGTGTTATTGTAAAAATGTTGTAACCACTTTAATTTAAGACAAGTCTTGTTATAAAAATATTATCCTTTGTTATTTCCTTATAATCTATGATGTTATAACTATTTTAATTGTGTTATGCTAGACATGTTATTTAATAAGTTCAAACTTAGTTGAACATGTAATTTAATTATTTTATAAATTTATCTAAAGTCTTACTTGAACATTATTCGAACAATGTGTACACAAAATTGAATTTTTTTTAAATATGAGTGATTAATGTTTGACTAGGATTGAAAGAATGCTCAATCATAGATCAAATTTTTATTGCATATATAATTTTAATCTTGATAAAAAATTTTGTTTATTTATTTTTTTTTTCAAACTTCTTTTGAATGTTATATGGATTTTATTTTTATCATATATAATCTCAAACTCTATCAAATCTCGTTCAAACTTTATTCAAATCAAAATTGGTTGCAACAAACTAAAAAAATAAGGTAGTCTTCTGTCTAAAGCGAGGATATTTCTTCAATTTTGAGCATCACTGAGCATATAAACTCAAACTTCCCATTGAATGTGATAGCTTCTTTTAAGATTATTTTGTTTTATTTTCGATCGGACACTATGTAAAGATAAACATCATTATTTGACAAAGTGGAGGAATTCTAATAGAACAATTGGTCAAAAAGAATATTCAAATATGCTTAAGAATGGAGATATTTTCATTGGTGAGTAGTTTTCTTGAATGAAGAGAATATAATCATAATATTTTTACTTCATTATTTTTACTATATTTACTGAACTATTATATTATATATTAATATTATCATCAAAAAAATTTTATATTATAATTTCCTATTTGCTCTCTTCTCATGAGCTATCTCAAATGTCCAAAGCATCACAAAACATCATAGATAATTAATGAAAAAGAGTAAATTTCAAGTTATTTTTTAGGAATACAATAAAAGAGAGTATGCACTAGAAGAGGGAAGAGAGTAATTCAAATCAATATATCTCACTTGGTTTAGCTATGTTAACTCTTTATTATAATGTTTATTACAGAGGTTTTGGAAATATAAATGCCTATAACATCAATATTGCAGTACAATGTAATCGCATGAAAAATATTTCTAAAGATAAAATAAGATGGCTCACACATGTGTATGCGTGCTTGTACATGTATGTAATATGCACGGTGTAATAATACGAAATATATTTTTTTATTAAAAAAAATTAGGTTTAAAATTGTATCTTTAAGATTGCTATATTCTCAAAATTGAGAGGTTTATGCTAATGAATTAGGATTCACTATAGAAGAGATGCGGAAATTATGCGAGTGAAAATCTTGGATTCCATGCACTCCCATTGCATTCACAATTTTCAAAGTCTAAGCATAATTCTTATGACTAAGGGAAGAAGAAATTATTAACAAAATTTTAAGATTTTTGTTATCACAGTCCCCGACAACAGATAGACACATGACATAAAAATACATAAATGTCAGCGCATGCTCAAATGAAATAATGGATTTGAATATTTTAAATATTAAAATTTGGTATAGTGCCCCACGGTGCTCCCTCAGAGAGCCCACAGTGTTGTTTCGCTGATTAATTATCAATTTTCTCAAAAGCACTAACACTGAAGCACGTGTCGTGATGCCCTAGAGATCAAATTTTCGACTTGCTCAAATATATGATTTTTTTTTTTTTTTTGATATGGAATGAAAAATGTAAAATTAATTAAAAAATAATTCACTAAATAAAGATCGAGCCTTTTTTTTGTTGTTGAGAAACTTCTTTAATATTTTAGGCACTTAATAATAAAAATAATAATTTAAATTTACTTACAAATTAAATTAATATTTTAAGCTCACTCCAGGCGAACTTCACGCCGACTTGCGAGAGAGCGGAGGAAAGCTGCTGCAGTTATAAAGTTCGGGGGATGGAGAGAGAGTCGATCGGGTCCGCCCGACGCCGGTAAATTTTTTTTAAAATTTATGTTAAAATTTCAGTAAATATCACTCAGTGTCAAAATTATAACGAATTTAGCTTAAAATTAAATCAAATTGTGGGAGATCTCGCGATATTTTATCTCACTTTCACTCGATTTTCGGTAATCTCTTCTTCTACTGCGCTTTCCGGATAATTTGAGGTTTCGTCTGCCTCCGCTCCGTTCTCGGATTCTTTGGGAATGGGTTTGCAATTCAGAGTTGGGGAAGGATTTTCTATTGGGCCTTCGTCAACTATTGTAATTCGAGGGTCTTTATGGTGTTGACTGGCGGAGTCAGTAAACGCGATCATTTGTCTTGTCTGGGTTTTGGATTTTTTGTCCAAGTTCGATCTGGTTTTTATTAGAAAGACTTTACATTTTTGTTTTTTTGCTTTCTTTTTCAGGATTTTTTTTAGGGAAATTGATCTAGGTTGGAGCGGTTGAAGGTTTGGGATTTGATTGTGGAGCTTGTCATGTTCTTTTACTGTTGTTTCTCCGTTTTTCTTCTTTGGTATGGTGAGATGGTTAATTTCGTTCTTTTGTTTTGAGCTGAATGCATTCCGTTTTCTCTCTCTATAAATCTTCTTGATTTCACTTTTGCTGCTTGGGATGATTTATTCGAGAATTGGTGTGTCAAATGGCTTCTATAATTTATGGATGAGAAGATTACTTTTGGTCTGAATTTTGTGTTTTGAGGAACTATGTAATGTTTGGGGGAGCTGGAAATTTACCTTATGATGTGTGCTTTTTTAGCTTGTTGATTTTTCAAGCTTGGATGCTTATGCATTGAAGATTTGAAGTGCCAATATAATATATGTTTCATTAAAGGGCATTAATGGCGTTCATTGTTTTTCTCTCATCCAGCATCTAATTTTTTGCCTATTCGGACCTTTTTCATTATAAATACGTAGGATGGTAATGCTTTTAGCGTTTGTGCAAATTTTATTTTGTTTTATTTTGTTATTTGAATCCAAACGCATTTGTTTTTTTACTTCATTTGGGATGGCTTTCTTACTGGCTTTTTAGTATAAAAAATTTATTTATTGTACTAAAAAGCTCTTTAAGAAGCAGTAAGAAAGTTGTCCCAAATCAAACCTTAAGCTGCTATGAATTGTAGTAGATGATAATATTCTATTAAGATTTCATTTTTGTTGTAAGCTATCTTTTTTCTGTGTTTGCCTTATTTGCTATTAAAATTCAATCTATGTTATTAGGTTCCTCAACATGTGTGCTGTGAAAAATGATGGTGACACAGAAAGGCTGCCAAAAGAACAGCCCGATTCATCACCAAATGATGAAGGTAGCTGGAGTGGATCACCAACAGCTGGTGAAGGTGTAGTTTTGAAGAAGGGACCATGGACATCTACAGAAGATGCCATTTTGATAGATTTTGTGAAGAAACATGGGGAGGGGAACTGGAATTCTGTTCAAAGAAACACGGGGCTCCGTAGGTGCGGGAAGAGTTGTCGTTTACGTTGGGCGAATCACCTTAGGCCAGAATTGAAAAAAGGGGCACTTACTCCAGAGGAGGAGGAATGTATTATTCAAATGCATGCTAAAATTGGCAACAAATGGGCTCAGATGGCTGCACTTGTAAGCTTCCATTTCTTGTTTCAAGCAATAGTTTATTTTTCCTTATTACTTCTATTTACTTTTGAATATTATGTTTTTCTTGGATAATGACTCCTTTTGTTAACTGTTCTTTTTCATGCTGTGTTATATATTTACAATCTGTACATTACTACATTGTGTTCTTATTTTTTTTATCATTATAAATCATTTTGATAAGACTGTTCATCTTATACAAAAATTCCCAATAATGTTCATGTTCAAGCAAATAATTGGATTTTGTATTTGTGAAACTTATTGCTAGCAAATGCTTAGACAATATTATTTTATGTAAAATATAATTTTTCTTTGTCTATTTAATCGATTAAGTTACATTGTCGCAGTTTTTTTATTAGAAAAAAAAAATGGGCTCAAGAATTCTGTTTCAATTCAGCTAAATATATTACTATAATATGCTTGTTTATGGTTGATGGTTGTAGTTCAGGTGAGTTACTTGTCATGTGGTTGTTATTACTTTCCATTAAATTGATAAGCAAAGGATAAGATGAAGGCGACATGCAAGAACCTGAAATAACAATGCCGGGTTGAGGTGCTGAAACTTTACAAATTCTTTTCCCAAGGTAGCCAGCAAGTGCAAAAGTATTTCTAAGAAGATTTGCACGCAATACATACTTAATGCAATAAACTTGGCTGTATCTCATGCAATTAGTAGATATCAAAACGGTTGTGTCTGAGTTCTCAGCTGGTTGTATCAGTTAGCCCAGAAATTCACGTGTGCTTATCTGATTCTGTAGATCATAGCTTCATTGAGGCCTAGATGTGGATGCCTCGAAGTTGCTATCAATGTTTTTTCCTTGTGTTCAGGCCATGAATATTGTAATTTAACATTTGAGAAAAAGATCGGTGCTGGTCATAATTCAAAATGGTTCCTGTGGCAAAAACTTGTGAATGAAGGTGCATGTAGTTTTGGAATCATTCTCTCTTTTATTTTTCAGCAAACTAACCTTCAAAATGAAGTAATTCAACAGATTAAGACTTTTGTTTGGGACGGCTTTCTTACTTCTTTTTAAAATAGTTTTCTAGTATAAAAATTTTAATTTTCGTATTAGAAAGCTGCTTTAAGAAGCAGTAAGAAAGCCGTCCGAAACGAAGCCTAAGTGTATTACTTTGTTATTTTGGAACAACCTATTATTGATCTCTTGGGAGACTCTATACCACTAGTCGCCTTTGTTTTTTTCAATGATCCTCTATTTATCCTGTCTGCCCATCCGTCTTTTTTTTTTCCAAGTACAAGAATGCCTTTCAACTTCATACTCGTATTTCTAGGAATGAAACAAGTCATTTTAAAAAGCAGGGTGTCTCTGAGATGTTCATCGTTTCCTAATCCTCTATAATGTCGAATTTCATGAATTGGCTGATGTCTTTTAAAAAGAAAAGTAAATCAGATGATCTCAAATTATAGAAGATGATTTTTTTTTTCTCTATTTTTAATATTGTGCACTTCACGCTATGTGTTATGATTCCACCACTAGACCTTTATGTTTAGAATCTTTAGATGCATGATTCATTATTGGGAAATATGATAAGCACTTGGTAGGGTAACATTGCTCTTGTTGGGGTGACTATAACGATGTGAATTTTTTGTATTAGGCCTTTATTTTTCCTTGGATGGCTGATATAGATATTTTATTTGGGCATACTCTCAATGGGGGTTTTATGGAAACTTTAACATTTTTAGTTCTGCAATATTGTATGCTATAAAAACCTGCATATGGCTTCATAATTTTAATGATTCATACTATTGAATTATCATGTTTTAGTTAGTTTTCTTTTGGATTTGATATACTCTTATATATTTATACAAATGTGTCACTCAGTTACCTGGACGGACAGATAATGAGATAAAGAACTTTTGGAATACAAGAACAAAGAGATTGCAGCGAGCTGGCTTGCCACTTTACCCTGCCAGTAGTATTTGCTCAGGAGATTCAAATGAGAACCAGCTGATCCAGATTGACGGTGAGTTCTGCAATGGTGATATAGAGAACAGTGGAGTTTTACATGAAGCCATGAATGAGATGCAGGAATTTGGATTTGATCCTTGCAAAACTACTATTGGGCAAGTATCATACGCACCTTTATCAGACCTTCTAAGTCAGGGCCTTGAGTGGCCTTATACTCGCAGCTTGTTGAACCAAGGATTAAACGATATTAAGCGAAATATAGTATCTGAAACCTTCTTGCCTGGATACCACGGTAGCCTTGGCAGTGTTGTTTCTAACTTCAAAGAACTTACAAGCGGGCACTCTGAATCAATGTATCGGAACCTCGGATTAGGTTTTTCCTATGATGCTGACCCTGATATGAAGAACCTGTTATCGTGTTCCATACCTGGCAGCCATGGCTTATCACATGGCAACTTCTCTGCTTCCAGGCACTCTGCAGGAACTGTGAAGCTGGAGCTCCCTTCACTCCAATGTCCAGATACTAATTATAGTAATTGGATGACATGCCCGGATACACCTCCTTATAATATCCTCGTCCAATCTCCTGGAAATGTTTCATTAATGTCCGACTGTGCTTCACCAAGAAGCAATGGCCTGTTAGAAGCGTTGGTTCAGGAGTCGCAGAAGATAAACTGTGGAAAGAACCAGTCATCTGAGAAAAGCTCCTGCTCTTCTGCCATTACTCTCAGCGACATAATGGAAAGTACAACTGTGAACTTCTGCACTGCAGAATGGGAAGAAACTTGTGACCAGAGATCTCCCTTCTCCCAATCTGTCGATGAACACGCACAGATCACTAGCAATTCCTTGGAAGAACTTACTCCCAAAGCTACTTCAGGTGAGCATTATTTGTACATATCGTTCATTTCTCGCTCTTACATACAGGACGGGAAGCTTGTAAATATGGTTTCTGTAGGTTCAGATGGAAAAATGGTGGTTGAACAGGATTCCACCACCAGCACGCCGGACACACAGCCAGGTTTCCTGAGACCTGATGCTTTGCTTGGATCAAACTGGAATTTAAGAGATTCCCGTAGAACAAAAGAGAACTCGGATTCTTTTTGTGCACTTCAAGGTGATAACTTGAGCCCAGCTGAGGTCTCTCTGGACTCTTGTCCATGGAATAGCATGCCCTCGATTCACCAAGTACCTGAACATTAAGCTTTACTTGATTGCTGAAAAACCTTTAAAATGTTTTCCATTAGTTGTTTAAAGAGGAACTATTTAGTCTCTGTAGAGTTGTCCCAGAGCAGAGAAGGCATTTCTGTTTGTTTGCAGCTTGGCATATTTTAGGTTTAGAATTGTTGCCACTTGTAGATTTTTCTTGTTGCTTGCTATTCAATAACAATGCAGGATTGGATGGATTTGGATTTTTTTTTTTTTTTTGGGGGGGGGGAGACATTTAGGTTAATTAAGACAGATTCACACACACACATCATATACATAAGACTCGAACCCAAGATCTTTTAGTTGGTAGGTTAAGCTCCCAACTAACAGACCAAAGTGAGTTGTGTAGATTTGATTTTTTTCCTTAAAATTTTTTAGCATTTTCTTGGATTTGAAATATCTACTGTAATGATTGTTTGTTATGTGATTGTACTTTATTTTCTATGTGATTGTCCCAGCTTTTATTCTGATGGTTTCTCCTTTTTGAGAAAAAATTATTCTGTGTGGACGCCGAACGTCGTCTCGTCCATCATCCGGAGACCAATCAGAATGTTTCACGTCACCCCTTCACTTGGTACGCTTGGTACTGCGGCTCGCTATGATGCACCGACATTTCTCCTCAAAGAGGCGTGCAGTGTCCGACACCGTATCTGACACGACACTCGTCCGACACTTGTCGTACACGCCGACAACGTGTCCGATTAAAAAATATTAAATACAAATTGGACACGCGTGTCTGACGTGTGTATCTTAAATATTTTATGAATTTTTTAAATATAATTTCTTGTATTTGGCGGGATTTAAACTAAATTTCTTATTTCCTATTCACAACACCAAATCAACGTCCGCACTTAATACCCAATCATCGAATATTCTCATTTTCATTTCTTTTTTGCTGTGAATGTATTTTCATCTTCTCTCTCGGTGTCCGATAAACAGCATCGACGTCTGACTCTCCATATCCTAATACTAATTATTTTAAGCACAAATTTTAGTTAAATTACTTATTATTTTCAAATTATTTTTAAAATTATACTTATTTAATTTTTATACACTATTTTTTAAATATAAAAACTATAATACCATATCCAACCCGTGTCCCTATCCTATATTTTCAAGAACTGACGTTTCCCGTATCTGTGTCGTGTCGTATCCGTGTTGCCGTGTCTGTGTCTGTGCATCATAAGTGGCTCGGTACCTCGGCTTTGTACCGTTGATATGATTGCACCTAATTCAACTCCGAACGTATTGTTGTTTCCGATATCGCACAATATTTTCTCCTCCTATGACGACTTGTTATGGAAATATCCAGATTATTTGTTACCATTGAACTGGCATCTAGCTATTTGCTATCATTTAAGGATGATGGAAGAGACATCAATTATATTATTTCTCGTCTGTGTGTGTGTATATATTAAATTTCTTAAAAAGATAGAAATCCATTCATATTTTATTAGATAAGCTAAGCTAACAAAGTTATAAGGTGGGTATAAAATTAATTACAGATTAAAAAAAAACCATCAAAATTGTATTAGTTGAGATTGACATTTAAAAATTAAGTTGAAAAAAATAAGAGAATACTATTCGAGCTAAAATTATTTGGCTATTAGTTGTCGTTTCTATATTCTCATTACCTAAAAAGCTAATATTCTCATTATCTGGCGTGCCTTAAAGTAAAGCCTTCTATTTTGATAGTTGGAGTATTAATTTAGGAAAATTGTTTACCACTGTTTTTTTTTTTTTTATGAAATTCTGTGTTAAAAAGTTATTACAGAAAGTTGTACCAAACAACGAAGGTCAAGTATATCCATTATTTTGTCAGATAGACCCTTTTATTCTATAATACATAGTTTTTTTTTTTTTTTATCTCCAGTTTGTACAACTTTTTTTGGACATTTAGATCAATTAAATCAAACTAACACATACCATATATATATATAAACCTCTTGATTGATAGTCAAAACTCTCAAAGGTGAATTGTGTTCATTCATACAACATCACATGATTTAGGCAAATACAAGCATATTGAAATAAATACCGCTGACGTTGTAAAAGCTTTGCTCAATACTATTTGCAATGCAACTAACGGATCAAATTGTTGGCTCAACAAAAAAGACGCGTAGGCAAGAATCCCTCTTTGCAGACTTAGTATTTCATTATCATTAAAGCAGATTGTAATTAATCATATTTCTTTTTAGGGTAGTATTAGGGTTTAATTAGATCTGAGTCCTTCATATGAGCACAAGCCCTCATAGTTAATTACCTCTCTTACTGCGTAAAAGAGAACTCTCAATAATTTTAGGTGTTTTAGTCTCAGTTGTGGGTGAAATGGAGTTAAACATGATCAAGATCTCATAGTTTTGTCACCTCGGAGATATCGTAGGTTTCAGTTTAGCAACACTAACAATCGTTGATCGTAGTGTCCATGGAATTTTATTAGCAAATATGAGTTGCCTCCATTCAGGAATTCTGAGTAAATTGAAGGGATTACAAGTAGGTTGTAATTTTATCGTGGTTTGGGATTTTTATCTGTTATAATACTCAGTACTTGATTTAGTTTGGGATTTATGATTTCATTTAGAAGTTGCCCATTTGATTGAATTGGATCGGGGCTTACATCCTCTATGGGAAGTAGCCTGATTATTTTACAAGTAGGCCTTACGATTGAAAATAGTCTATAAGTTTTAGAAGTGGGTATTATGACTTTCATTGGAATTTGTTCATAGTTTAATTTGATTCATCACTACTTATAGAACTTTTCCAAACAACAGATCTTACAACTTCCCTTAGAAGATGCTTGATTATTTTTGTAAGTCTTACGACTTTTGTGCTTAAAAAGTAACCCGAATGTGGATCTTACAACCTAGCCCTATAAGCTAAGCAAACCCAAAGGTTTGGATTGGATAAGTTTTACGATTTCCCTTAAAAGTTGCCTTGGCTTTTGTTTGAGTTTTAGGGTTGTTAAACTTCATTTTTAAAAGTTTTCCTAATATGTGGATCTTACTGTTTCACTTAAAAGTCGTCATAGGGTTTGTAGGTTTTACTGGTTTCCTTCGAAAGTAGCATGTTTGTTGAGTTTATAATATATATATATATATTTTTTTTGGACATTTAAGGCAAACTCACACACACAACGCATACATAAAGACTCGAACTCAAGACCTCTTAGTTGAAAGCATAAGTTCTCAACTAACAGGCCAAGATGAGCTGTGTATAATAGATATATTAGATAACAGGTACTTTGATTTGCAGTTATTTATTAGTCTGACACTTACTAATGTTTCTATTATAGTGCCCTATTTTTTTCTTCTTTCATTAGTTTAGTTCAACACTCTACCCTTTCTTGCTTTAGCCGTTTGGCTTTAGTATTGAACAGTTTTGTTTCTTATTTGTATGTATTTTAAGCTTTGTACCTGCTGGAGCTTTCTTGGAGCAGCGAAGCGCATGAAGAAGAGTTTTAGTTTTGTTAGCGTTTTGAGCTTATGAGTTTTAGTGTTTCAATGTTGGTTTTAGTGTTCAGTATTTAGTTTGTGCTTAGACTTTAGTGGAAAATGCACTTCTTCTTTTTTTTTATTGAAAAAAAAATGTATATTTTCACCAAAGTGGCTCTGTCCGCATTTTAAAATCGTGGTCAATGTAAAAAAAAATTAATTAATCTATTTTAATGAATTAAAACTTATTTGATTGATTAATTAATCACTCAATTAATTAAAGTTATTTTAATAGATTAATTAATTTTTAAATTAAATTTCAAATTTAATTTGAAATTAATTGATTAATTATATTTAATTAATTAAAAGAAATTTCATTTATAATTATAATTCTATATTGAAGAAAGTTCTACAACAGCAATCTCACCACACAAAGCCATAATGCCCATGGCTTTTCTTTGGGAGCAATTCATCAAACACTTGAGGTGCAATACTTAAAGAATCACATAGAACAAACTATTATACAAAGAGATTTATACACTTATCAGATCACAATATAATCAATGACCCACAAAGGAACTTTCATGATCCATACAACAATCACTTCAACAAATATGCATACACAAAGTAAACTGAAAACAACTAAATTTGATTCTATTTTTTTTTTTTTTTTTGAGAGGGGACATTTAGGTCAATTAAGACAGATTCACACACAAATCACATGCACAAGATTCGAACCCAATACCTCTTAGTTGGTAGGCTAAGCTCCAAACTAACAGGCCAAAATGAGTTGTGTGGATTTGACTTTTTTACTTAAGATTTTTTAGCTCTTTCTTAAATTTGAAAGATCTACTGTAATAATTGTTTGTTATGTGATTCAACTTAATTTTCTATGTGATTGTACCAGCTTTTATTCTGATGGTTTCTCCTTTTTGAGAAAAATTATTATGTGCGGACGCCATCCGGAGACCATCCAGAATGTTCCACGTCACCCCTTCGCTTGGTATTGCTTGGTACCGCTCGATACCACGGCTTGGTACCGCTGATGTGGTTGCACTTGATTCATCTCCAAATGTAGAGTTGCGTCCGGTGTCACGCACAGAATAATTTCTACTCCTTTGAGGACTTTTTTCTGGAAATATCCAGGTTATTTGTTTTACCATTGAATTGGCATTGAGTTATTAAGCTAAGCTAACAAAGTTATAAGGTGGGTATAAAATTAATTACAGATTTAAAAAATTAAAAATAAAACCATCAGCATACTGAGATTTAAATTTTAAGTTGAAAAAAAAAAAACAAGAGAATACTATTTGAGCTAAAATTCTTCGGGTAGTAGTTGTCCATTAAGGCAAATTAACACACACTACATACACAAGACTCGAACTCAAGACCTCTTGTTTGATAGTCAACACTCTCAAATATGAATTATGTCCATTTGTACAATTTCACTTGATTTAGGGAAATATAAGCATACTGAAATAAATAACGTTGACGTTGTAAAAGCTCTGCTCAATACTATTTGCGACACAATTAACGGATGAAACTGTTGGTTCAAAAAAAAAAAAAAATGGCATGTATGTAAGAATCATGATTTGCAGACTTAGGATTTCATTATCATTAAAACAGATTCTAGTTAATCATATTTTCTTTGATTGTAGTTTCAGGGTTTAGTCAGATCTGGATCCTTACTTCATATGAGTGCAAGCTCTCATAATTAATTACATCTCTTAATGTGTAAAAGAGAACTTTAATTAAGGATGAACAATTTTAGGTGTCTTAGTCTTAGTTGCGGGGGGAATAGAGGTAAACTTAATCAATATCATATGATTTAGTCATCCCGAGTATACAATAGTTTTCAGTCTACTAATACTAACAATCGTTGATCGTAGTGTCGATGAAATCTTATTAGCAACCATTGGTTGCCTCTTGTCAAAAATCCTGAGTAAACTGAAGTGATTATGAGTGGGTTGTAATTTTATCATGGTTTGGGATTTACATCTGTTATAATACTCAATAGTTGATTTCCTTTGGGATTTATAATTTTAGTTAGAAGTTACCCATTTGATTGAATTGGTTCGAGGCTTACGGCTTCTGTAGGAAGTAGCCCGATTGTTTTAGAAGTGGATTTTACAACTTTCATTCAAAATAATCTGTAAGCTTTATAAGTGGGTCTTATGGGTTTCATTGAAAGTTGCCCGTAGTTTAATTTGGTTCATCACTTGTAGAAATTTTCCGAACAACAGATCTTACAACTTCTCTTAGAAGATGTCTAGCTATTTAGGTAAGTCTTACGGCTTTTGTTTGGGTTTTAGGTTTGTTGTACTTCATTTAAAAGTTTTACTAAAGTGTAAGTTTTACTGCTTCATTTAAAAGTCATCCTAGGATTTGTAGGACTTACTGCTTCCCTTTGGAAGTAGCTTGTTTGTTGACTTTAGGATAGATAGATTAGATAGTAGGTACTTTGGTTTGTAGCTTGTACTTAGGGTTGATTAGTGGAAAATACACTTCCCTTTTTTTCTATTCTTTTTATTTAAAAAAAATATAATTTTTCGCGAGAGTGGCTCTCTCCAAATTTTGAAATCATACTAAATGGTAAAAAAAAAATCAATTAATCTATTTTAATTAAGTAATTGCTTAATTAATGAAAATTATTTTTAAATATATTAATTAATTATTAAATTATATTTCAAATTTAATTTGAAATTAATTGATTAATTATATTTAATTAATTAAATAAAAATTCAACTTTGATTATAATGCTAAATTAATTGATTAAGTTAATTTCAAATTTTAACTAACCAATTAATTGGGTCTTATTTTATGTTTGAAATTTAAATTAGTTAATTAAGTAAATTAAACAACAAATTAATATTTAATTTTGAAATAATCACTCTCAAATTTCAATTAAATTACTCCTCGTAAATTGAAAAATGCAACAACAGGGTATCGGGCTGTGCTTGTTCAAAATCGAAGGCAACACAGAGGACTCACGACTCGTATAGAAGAAGCAGTGGTGCCGCAAGCCGGGTAGAAGGGCTCCATCGTGCGGGAGCAGCGAAGGCGATGCGGGAGGATCACGCGGCTGTTTTCGTGTGAAGGAGCGGGCGATGCACGCGGGATCGTGGCCGGAGTGCCGGACGAATGGTGGTGGCGCAAGTTAGGTTAGGCAGACGACGGGTTGAGTCGACGAGAGCCGGCGGAACGGAGGTTGTAGTTTGGAGAAGGGTTTTGGGTGTAGTCGATCGGACGGGTTTTGGGCAAGTTTAGTCATAATCGTCCGTTTAATGGGCGAACGAGTGATTAGCAATGCATAAAAAAATTCATAAATATTTCTGATTTTGTATATTCATAAATTTTGCAAAATTTTTGTGACAATCAAAATGTCATTATTGCCAATTTTTTATTTTGGTTATTAGTAAGTTGTACATAAATTAGTTATTTAGTTACATGTAATAATTTTAAAATTTGAAATAGCTTAAAATTTTTAATTAAAATTATGAAGTAATATAAAGTTAAGTACTTGGAATTTTTTAAAAATGAAGCTTAAACACTATAAAAGTGTATATCTAAAATTGAATATAGGTATTGATTTATTGAGAAATTATTCATTACAAAATATTTAATGATTTATTATAATTAGTATTTGATTTTAATTTACTTTATTTTTCAACATTTGTTTTTTTTTTCAAAATAATAGTATAATTTATGTTATTTAATTTTTTTTCGTAACATTATTTCCTTTTATTTAAAAAAGTACCAAAAATGTAAATATAAGAGATAGAAAAATTTTAAGAAGAAGCAGCATTCCAACAACAATAAGAACATTGAATAGAAAACCACATTTAGACAGACACAAACATACATATCCATAAAACATAATAACTTAGACAATATCAGACGCAAACCACTTACTAACACGCTTAGTAGAGTACTAAAAAAAGAAAGCCCTCAACGATTCTTGGTCACGATGCACATGTATGCTTGGAGTTAGGGATTGAGTTGGGTAGCAATTGAATTTATGATTAAACCAATGCTGGACGCATTGTTAGTCCAATGCATTGAGATTATTTTCTCTTTCTACCTAGCATAAAAATCATATTCTCATATATTTGAACGAGTAATGCATCAGCTGTAAGATATCATTTACAGTAAAGAATACAGTGAGCTATATCAATCGTTGGGTTGTCCATAATCACCTCAAACGACCCATCTTCACGGCGTCCAATTTCAGCATATCTACCTTTCAGAACATTAATCAACAGTACATGTCCCACCTGTTCCATAAACCTCTTTAGCAGAAATTTCCAACCCTCCTCACTCAAACCGACTCCATCCTTGTAATAGAGAATCTCCATGACTTCGACGTGTGTGACCCTAATATGCAGTCTTTTATTTCTAACTAGGAATGCATACAACACCAGCAAATTTCACTTGATCTAGCCATCTTCTCTAACCTATCATCAGTGGAATGTGCTAAACATTCTTTCAATTGACTGATTTTAGCTTTCACCATCATAATCATTAGTATATCTATGAAACATAAACAAAATTTCATTAGAAATTCATCACCATGCAGAGCCAAGTAAAAAGAACCATAATAATTTTACAAACAAGGATTAAGCATCCCCAAACTCAAATGATGCATAATAATCATATATACTATGCTTTATCAATGATTTATTCAAATATATCTAAAAAACACATACAGAACTAACCTAAAACCCCTTTATTCTGCAACTTTATATGATGCATTTCCTTTTTTTTTCCATATCCATACTTCTATTAAGAAATGAACAAAAAATTTAAAAAAAAAAGTATATAAAAAAACCCTAAAACGATGGCCATGCGGAGTTTCAACGAGATCAAGAGAGACGAACGCAGGAGATGCAGGTGGCCTAGAGCATCGGGCAGAAGATTCAATTCTTATCATTGTAAAATCACCCATTAAACGAGCGATTTTGGTATGTCTAATATATCACGGTTAATCGGGCCATTTAACTATGTATGACAAATGGCCCATTAAACAGACGATTATGCATAATTTTAATTTTAAAAAAAAAAAATCTTAAGAACTTGCTTAGTAAAAAAATTTACCCTATTCGGTCAATTTTCATTCTCCTTTTTTTTTTTGAACCGAAGCAATGCATCTAGTCGATCATCTTCTTAAAAAATATATATTTCAATTTTAATTCCGTCAACAGAATCGACAGTTTTCAAATGAGAACTCAAACTCTCACAAAAACAAGCCGGTTTTTATTAGACTTTTGCTTGTGAGAGATGAACTTAGTTTAGGATAATTCTTTTAATAATAATCCTTTAAATAAGTATCATATCATTACATAACATTACATGACAATGGAGGCATTATATTATTTTATTATTCTAACGCTATAATACCACATAATTATATAATAATCAATCAAATTTTTAGCACATTTTTTTAAAAAAATTATCGCAGTGATTGTGCTGTACCGGTTTTCACGAGAAGACTATATAAAGATCATTATAGTTCAAGGGGCTACACAAATAAAAATTATTTGCTATTTTTTAACAAATATCAATTAAATTTATTTTAAAGAAATAAAAAAGAGGTGAGCACATGACAGTATAAATTAGCAAAATTAGTATAAGTTTCTGGGTAAGAAAAAAAAAAGCCAAGAGTTGGTGAAGGTTCATAACACAAGCCCAAGCTAATTTTTATAAAAAGAGCTTGTTGAAATTATTATATTTTTGCATTGTTCATTTTTTTTATTTGCATTGCTTATATTTTTATTCACAATCAATCTTGTTATCAAGAAATTATTCTGTGCGAATACCAAATGGAGAGAATCGTCCGGATTTGCTGCGCTTTTACTGTCCTTTTATTACGTTTTTGCAAAAAGACATCAAATATTTAATATTTACTAAATAATTGAATATTTGTTGCCTTTTTGCAAAAGCGCAACAAATATTCAATTATTTAGTAAATATCAAATATTTGCTGCCTTTCTGCAAAAGGAACAAATATTCAATTATTTAGTAAATATCAAATATTTGCTGTCCATTTGCAAATCCGGACAGTTCTCTCTGTCACAGAATAATTAGTCCTTGTTATCACGTACTTCGCAAATATTCATAATTTTTTATGACTCAAACACTCTTCATCAAACCCAAACGCTTGGATGAATAGAGAAAATATTTTTAAAAATTAACAAGAAATATTTAAAACAACTCAATTCAACCCACTTTTGAATTGTGTCGTCCTTTCAAGACATGAAAACAAAAAAACTGCAGAATAACTTACATGAATTAAGTCACTACCACAACATATCTGTCTTCCCACTCATCCTTCACTGCTACCTGAAAAAGAATTCACCGACTAAAATTAACAAAAAAAAAGAACACAAGACTTATATATATATATTATTTATTATTATTATTATTATTTTACGATGGCTTACTGTTCTTTCCAAATTCTGCCAGTGACTCTGAGCTTTAGTTCTTTCCTATCACCACCAGAGAAGAACAAAGCCATGTTCCTTTGAATGATGAGGCCGTCGTAGCTGTCGCGAACCTTCTTGTGGCTGTCTCTGATGCTCCGCGGCACTCCTTGCCAGATCATTTTCCGGCCATTCGCCCCAACCTCAAGGCTGTAGCTATAGTTCTTGGCATCAGAGTCATCTCCCATGAAGCGAAGGAAAGCTATGTAGACTGGCGCCATTGACAACTGAAATGCTTCGAAGTGCAGGCAGAAATATTGCCCAAAGCAACTGAAAACCTAGAAAGTTCTATAATTATCAATAAACTGCGATGGATTAGTGAAGAACATAATAAAAATCCAACTCTGATACAAAGACCTCTTGTTAATGTAGCATTTCAACTGGAATTAATGGCTATCCTTTCATTGGGAAAGGTTAGTCAAGATTGTATGTGGGAAGTTAAAAGTAATAGTTATTGAAGGAGACAATTACAATGCAATCAAATTTCTTTAAAGATCTTTTGAAGGGTCCAAAGCTAGGTTCAAGCATGTGGGATAGTCACTTTTCGTTTCGAAAGAATTTTGATCAAGTTATTTTCAGTTTTTTTCTAATAGAAATTGTAATAAGTTCGATGATTTAGTGTTAAATTTGTTTTATTTAGTAATTTTATTTGGGATGACATTACTAGTATTGGCATTCCTTCTTCGTGTTTATCTTTGTTAAAGGAGGAATGTGATGTGTTGGATTTTCTTCATTAGGTTGTAATTTCTTTTCTTTAATGCTATGGGCATTTTAATCAAAAAAAAAAAAAAAATTTGTAGGGGGTATAAGGGATTGATGCATAACTCTAACTTCAGATGTTCATATAATGCTAAAGACAGCTTAGCTAGAACCGCATGAACTGAAGTCTATTCCATGCAAATGCCATGTCCTTCAACTTTCCTTCCGCCCCACAAACAAATTTACAAACCAAAGCAATCCACAAACACCAATATTTGCAATGAACATGAAAGATAATGGTGAATAGCAATTAAAGCAACCCTTTTTAGCAATAAGTGGATATGTTTTCTGGCTAGTAGGTAAGGTGGAAGCATAAAATACTTTATGATGATTTAGGGTTCATGTTGACACCTACTTATAGGAGGCTTCATTAGACCGTGAAATCCAAGTTTGCATGTTTTCTTCTCAATGTTCAAGAGATAGGAGCTTGCGTATTAACAAAAATCAGGACCAGAGCGCATTATGTAAATCGGAACATTAAGTAAGTCTTTGAATTCTGAAATCTAAGGGAACAAATTGCAATGCATTTCAATGGCAGCTAATGTCATAAACAATTGACTCGCAGATTTGAGGGTAAAATATTTACAACCAATTTGATTACCAAAGTTGACAAAACTACTAAGGAAAAATAGACTCATTAATCATGAAGATGCATTCGAACTGGAAACGTATTTTCTTAACTCACCGTACTTTGGCTACTAGTTAATGTTAACCTCAGATATTTCAGCCTTTCCAATGCTTCGGTTTATCTAGCAATTTGAAGACTTGTTTAAGTAGAATAATAAATACAGCAATAATAATAACATCAAGTCTTTATACCACTACATGAGGTCAGCTACATGCATCCTTTTTCTCCATTATGTTCTATTAAAAGTCAAATTATTATTTAAATCTAATAAAGAAATGTCATTTCTAATATTTTATAACGAAGTATTTTTAGGTCTATCTCTACCTTTCTTCACATAAGCCAATCTAATACATCTATTCTCCTAACCGAGTCATCGGAAGGCCACTGTTTTATGTGACAAAACCATCTAAGGCGACTCTCTCTAATTTATCTTCAACTGGAGTCTGGAGCAACTCCAAAATTTTCACATATATGCTCATTTCGCATCCTTTCTCTAAGAGTAAAGCACTCATCCACCTCAGCATCCTCATCTTTGCAACACAAAACTTAATAAAAATTAGTTTAATAGTTTGTGTTTACGTGATAAACTCAGTGAAAAATCACAATTTTAACATAATAGTTATATATAAAAAATAGAATGAATCATATGCATTTTTTCTTTCTTTCCAATTAACATATATATAAATATATCAATGGATATGATATAATTCTTTATTATATATCTGTCAAATAACGTATTGCTTTTTCAATTAATATTCATCCATTTTTCATTTTCTCATTTATTCTTATTCCCTTTCTCATTTAGTATAGAGCGTTGTCTAAAATTTGTATCAATGAAGGTACAACAATTTTCATTTACATTTAATGAGTACGAGTATGTTGTGTCTCCCGTCAATATCATAAGGGGATGAGCTCCTATAATTTGTGTGCATGCACCTTTTTCCTTTTTAATTTACTTTTCATTTCATATTAGCAATTATTTGTTATATAAATCTATAAAAATATTTTTCTCTCGTACATATATTATAGTATGAACTTCAGTTATTCAGTCATTCTCAAATTTATTGTACATTAACTATTTAGCTAAAACAAATATTTGAACATGATATAACATCAACAATACATATAACATAAAAACATAACCTTACTATGACTAACATAATTATCCATATTATGCCTCTTAATTACTTTTGTTAATATCTTAAACATTCAGTCAACATAATACTATGACATGAAATACTTGAAATAAATAATATAAAATATTTGTAATTACCCACTTGGTCACTTTTGTGCTTCAAGTTCCTTCCAATCTCAAGCCTGATATAGATTTCCAATACTCGTTTTAGTATGAAGACCTTACACCCGACTCCATATAAATAATGCCTCCAAATTTTAAGCTAAAAAATCACAACTGCTAATTTCAAATCATTTGTGGGATAATTTATTTCATGAAATTTTAGCTTCCTTGAAGCATATGTCACTACCTTATCATATTGCATTAATACAAAGACCCCTCAACGAAGCATCACAGAAAATTTGAAATCCCTCTGTGCTTGACGTAATTGTTAATATGAGAGCAGTCATTAAAAAACTCTTCAGCTCCTGAAAAGCTCCTTCACACTGATTATTATATTCAAATTTTACTGCCTTTTAAATCAATATGGATAACATCATTGCAATCTCAGAGAATCCTTCCACAAATTTCTTATAATAACCAGCAAGACCCAGAAAATTCCTTACTTTTGAAACTATAATCGGCCTTGGCCATTCTGCAATAGCCTGAATTTTATTATGATTAACAGACATGTCATCACCACTAATCACATGCCCAAGAAAATTAACATTATTCAACTAGAGTTCACATTATGAGAATTTAGGATACAGCTTATTCTCCTTAAGTGTTTGCAACACTGCATGCAGATGATTGAAATTGCTTTCTAAATCTCTTGAATAAGTGAAAATGTCATTGATAAATATGATCACAAATATGTCCAAAAAATATTTGAAAATTTTATTCATTATATCCATAAATACAGTTGAAGCATTCGTCACTCCAAATGGCAGCACCACAAATTCATAAATGACATCTTGTTCTGAATGCAATCTTAGCTATATCTTCTTCCTTAATGCGCAACTAATGATATCCAAAATGCAAATCAATCTTAGAGAAAATTGTAGCTCCCTCAAACTAATCAAATAAGTCATCAATTCTAAACAATGGGTACTTATTTTTAACATTTAGCTTATTTAATCCCATGTAATCAATGCACATTCTGAAACTCTTATTCTTCTTCTTTACAAATAACAATGGAGCTCCTCATGGCAAGGAACTTGGCCTAATAAATCTTTTATCTGACAATTCCTTTTAGTTTCTGCAATTTCTTAATTGTCATTCTGTATGATGCTTTTGTTACTAGTTCTAAACTCGGGAATAAATCGATAGTGAACTATCTCTCTCTTTCTGGGGGCTAATTCTAGAAAATCATGTAGGAACATTTCTGAATATTCTTTCATTACAGGTATATATTTTAACTCTTTAACTTCATTAATTGTATCTCTTACTTGAGCAAAATAAATCCTGATATCCCTTAGATAGCAATTTACAAGCATTCATATAAGTAATTACCATTGAAGATATTCTTCTATCTTCATAAAATTTACATTATTTTTTACTCGATAATTTAAATTTTACTATCTTCATATTGCAATCTATGATCACAAAGTGATTTGACAGCCAATCCATTCTCAAAATCACATCAAATTCATGTAACAGTAATATATTCAGAATTGCTTTAAATCTCCTCATTTATTACGAACTCAACTTGACAAAAACTATTAACATTCATTTTGGACTCATTTGGCATTAATATTTCTAAAATTGTGGGTACTTCATGAACATTCAATCCAACTATTTTTATAAATTCTTCTGAAATGGAGTGTGAAGCCATATCAAAGAGCATTTGCACTGGCATTCCTTGAATTTTTATCATACATGTAATTACTTTAGGTGAGTCCTTAAAATCATGCTGAGATAATACATATACTCTATGTTGAGTATTTGGTCGACTTTGACTTATCCCTAGAATGAAAGTAACTGATTCTATCATCCTTAGTCTGCCAACAATTCTCTAAGAAGGCAGCATTCATTCTTGATTCCCCTGATGGTCTTTACCCTAGATTAGGGTTGTTCTTAGCTATGTGTCTAGGTTGATGACACCAAAAGCATGTATTTGTTCCAGAAAGATATTATCCTTTATGTTGCTTTCCACACTTACTGCAATTATTCAAATTCATCGGACTATCACGGCTATTGAATTTTGTCTTCTTCTAATTAGACTTCCCAGATAGTGAAATGGATCTACTGTGAGAATCTTCGGAAGCTCCCATAACCTCAACATTCTTTCTCTTCTGAAATGTACGCCTTCTTTGGGCATTTTGACAAAGGCTTCATCGGGGCGGCTTTCTTACTGTTTTTTAAAATTATTTTAGATAAAGTAACTTTTTAAAGTTATTGTAGAAAACTGTTTTCTAATACAAAATTTTTTAATGAAGTGAAAAAAAAGTGGTTAAATGAAAATTGTGATTGCGGTCTGAAAAGCAAAGATGTAAAAAAGCTATCCCAAACAAAGCCTAAATCAGCTTAATCACAATAATCCAGTTAATTTTGGTGATCAAGCAATCATGCATTGACCAAGCTCTTCGAAAAAGATCTCATAAGCATTCAACTCCACTCCCGCACTAACTGCCTGCTATAGAATTGCTATTACTAATAAATTTGATAAATAGCCATCTGCTGTGAGGTACCAACTAACAAATATTACTAATTTATTAGCATAAGTAGCAACCAAACAATTCTATTATTAGCTAACTCAGTGGCCACTGCAGCAAAAGTAAATCTAATTAGAAAGTTTAATTATACTTGTTGGTAACTTATTGTTAGTAGCTACTAATACATGTGCTATAGCTATTTAACTGTATGGAGAAAACAATGCCCAAGTCACACCAATAAGATCAAACTGAAAGAAAATAGAGTTGACAATGGAAATCTCAAAGGCTCATTAAATCACATGTCAAATTTTGTTAATAGAAACAAAATCGAGTACCATAAGAATATTTTGCGTTAGAAAAGTACCGTTAGCATCCAAGTTGCATTCTCAACCTCCTGTGGATTTGACTTGACATATCTATGGTTAAACGTACTTCCATTATGCATGTCAACCTTGTGATCATCTTTAAGATGGCCAACCAAGAAAGGAATGTCACCAACAAAGGTGCATTCAGAACCCGCATAAGGGCAATTATATGGCCTAAACGGACATTGTGATTCATGTTTCATCTTGCAATAATAGGGATATATACCCATGCAGCCATAACCCTGGTATTTGCAAGGGAGTTCAAGAGAAGCCGCCACTTTCTCCAAAGCAAGACATCTTATATTGCCAAGCTCATGCCTGCAAGTTGGGCACCGGTTATGTACTCTAGGCTTGCAGCCAGAACATAGTGTATGGCCGTTAGAACACTGCAAAATCATATTATAGAAATCATATAAGGCTTCAAATACAAGGTAACTTAATGAAGTAGAATGGCAAGCGTTAGAAGGATAGATTCAAATGCACATTTACCAACAAAAAAAAAGCAAGGAAATAATTACTACCATTAGAAATGAATATGGCACTATTTATAGTAGTAAGAATTTGAACTATATATTAATATTATATTTCCTCATTATTCTTTATATTTGTCCATATTATATTTTTTTTTCCTTTATTGTTCTCTTCTCTTGCCTACTCAAGTGGATGTGTGGCTTTACTCTTAGAGACAGGATACGAAATGAGCATATACATAAAAAGGTTGGAATAGCTCCATTGGAAGATAGATTAAGAGTTGCCCGTAGTTTAGATTTAGATTAGGTCTTACGACCCCATTTAGGAGTTGCGTGTAATTTAGACTTAGGTTAGGTCTTACAACCCCGTTTAAGAGTTGCTTGTCATGTAGATTTAGGTTAAGTCTCACGGCACCATTTAGGAGTTACTTGTAATTTAAATTTGGGTCAGGGCATACGGCTTTCATTGAAAATAGCTCGTATAGCGAGTCTTACGGCTTCATTTAGAAGTAGCCCATGTAGTGTTTGGTTGGTAGGACTTATTGCTTCCTTTTGGAAGAGGCCTGTGGGTTTAAAAGGTTTAGAGTTTTTCACATAGAAGCTTCCCTAACATGCGGGTCTTACAGCTTCGCTTAGAATTGTTCTGTTGGTTGGGTCTTACAACCTAAACCTATAAGCTAGGCGACCCAAGTATGTTTGGTTTATAGGACTTACTGCTTCCCTTTGGAAGTCACCAATGGATTTGATTACTCCCCTAAGGGAGTATTTGTTGCTCCTCATGGGAGGTTGTGTCATTGTGTGCATTAATTTAACTGAGATTTATCCTATTTAGCTAGTTGTTGCCTATTAGGTTGGCATTAGAGTTGTTACACACCCTACCACCCGACACTAGTGCCTTTTACCCTAGATTTCAGTAGTTTACTGTGGTTTTACTTATAGTAGTGCTCGTAGCTTTCTTACTTCAGTAGTCTATCTTTTACTTAAGTAGAGTTATTTGTTCAGTACTCTCTCCTTTACTTTCAGTATCAGTTTTACTTTAGTACATGTTTGTTTTAGTACCAGCTATGTTCCTACTGGTACTAGTTTTGTTCTTTCAATACATGTTTTACCGGTACCAATTTTACTAGCATTAGTTTTGTTTTACCAGTACTAGTTTTATTTTTACCAGTACATTTCACTTTAGTACATCGTACTAATGCTTTGTTTGTTTACAAGCAAGTATGTTGAGGCTAGTAAATTGCAGCTTGCAACTAAAGGGTTTATCAGGAGTTGGGGCTTAGAGAGCTACTTGTTATAGAGCTGGAGGGGATTAGTTTTAGGATTTTTAGAGCTTTTCTTTCTGCTTTATGCTTTGGTTAGCTTATTTTAGGAGTTTAGGTTTTAGTGTGAGTTGTATGGTGTCTAATAGCGTGAAGTCATGAACATTATTCTTTATTTTATTTAATGCATTTTATTTAATTTTAAATTAGCTGCATTTATTAATAAATTAGGTTAATTAATTAAAATTTAATTTAATTTAATTTAATTTAAGGATTTAAATTTTCTTTAAATTAACTACTCAGCTCCTTAATTGATTTTAAATGTATTTTAAAATTATTTAATTATTTTAATTATATTATTAACTAAAAGAGAAGCATAATACTAAGTTAAGTGTGGCAGAGATGAGGATGCTCAGGTGGATGAGTGGCTTTACCCATAGAGATATGATACGAAATGAGCATATACATGAAAAGGTTGGAGTAGCTCCAATAGAAGATAAGATTAGAGAGAGTCGCCTTAGATGGTGTTAAGAAAGGTAGGGGTAGACCTAAAAAGACTTGGTTAGAAAATATTAGGAATGACCTTTCTTTATTAGATTTAAACAAGAATTTGACCTTTAATAGGACACAATGGAGAAAAAGGATTCATGTAGCTGACCCCACGTAGTGGGATAAAGGCTTGATGTTGTTGTTGTATTATTAATTAAATTAAATTTAATTGCTCAATAAATTTAATTCATTTAAAGGATTTAAATTGATTAATTAAAAGATGTTCTCATGATTATTTCAATTAAAGTAAAAGTTTTAATTAAAAATTTTCACTAAAGTTCTGATTTTAATTAATTGTTCAAATTAGACTTAAATTAATTAAATTATAGTTCAAAATAATTATTAAAATTTTAAAGGTATAATTTTATTTAAATTTTAGATTTTAATTAACTTTTAAAATTCCAATTTATTCAATTCATTGAATTTTAGTTTAGATTTGGATTTTAATTTTACTTTTTAAATTGCTCATTTAATTAATATTATAATTAATCAATATAATGGTTTTCCAATTTTTTCCAAAAATCTGAACAAGTCTAGTACAGCAATTTCAATTAATTAAATGCTTTTCCAATTTTTGGGAAAACTTCGTGAACAACAGATTTTTTTTTTTATCAATGGATTTTACATCATCCATTACATTGAACAACAGACTTGACGAGAGATAAGTTGCCAAAGAGGATGACAATAATAAATTGATTAAATTCTATGCTGTAATGCTACTGAACCAACTTTGATTGTTTCTTATCATGAGAGCCAAGTTGGCATTTCTTTATAGGTTGTGGTTCATTTAAAAAGTTTTTTTACAGTTGTCCTGAATTAAATTAACAGTTTGCTTGGCTGTTCTCTTCATTTTGAAACAATTTACGTGAAGCTAAGAAGTAGATCTTATAGAGTTCCTGAGCTCATGTATTATGTAATTCAAGCAACTGAAGCTAAAAGTTCAACTTCATAAATATTAATAAAGCACTACCAAACAACTCAATAATGACTTCCCCAGCTATGACTTCGGAAGTATGAAGTGACACTTCATCGGCTTACAAGCAACCATGGAGGCCCTTACTAAGATAGGTTCAGCACAAATCTGTGATTTTCTTTAATTCAGTATCCATTTAAGCAGCGCAAAGAACATTAACAAAGTTTTCAACATGAAAGACCACATATAGCAGGATCAAGTTTATTTAATATTTAAAAGAACTACTAATGCTTTAGTAAAATGCTTGCAGAAAAACAAAACCGACAACAAAAATTCATGTAAACCCAATGATTCATTCTCTAAAAAACAATAAAAACACAGAAGATAGGCCCCAATATCCGCAGTCCCTTCTTCAAGATTAAAGTAATTAAGGATTCCGATTTTTATTTTATTTTTTGTCATTCTAATATTTCTCCAAATAAACAGATAAAGCAGAAAAGTATCTATAATTCTGCAGAAAAAGTTTGCAAAATCAGAGATATTTGAAATTAATGCATTAAATAAGCATTCTTGAGCCATTCCCATGCATCATTTCTACAGTAAAAAATACAGGCAAATCCAAGGTAATTTAGAATGAGATCTTAATTTTAAGTGATGTCAACAAGTTTCCGGGTTCAAATTAAAAATTATAGCATTAGCTTGAAAGTTAAGAAGTACCTTGGTTAGAAATCATGATTGAGGATGTTTAACAACGATAAATGTTGGAAACATGTGAGAGAGAAAATTATGTAATTAAACCTTCAATATAAAGCAAAGTATCCTACATTGAACTTCATGACCAAAGCATCTCTTTACAACAAAATATCCAATTTTCCTCCAAAGGAAATCAATTTTCTGAAGTCCGCTGGAGTGTTTCACTAAAATCACATTAGTCATTCCAATACAGATACTTAAAATTAATGATATTAAAAAAATAATGCATAACAGAAACTGTGCCTATGGACATTGCATACCAGTATAGATAAAATTCAGCAACGAACTAATATGCAAATCTTAGTCAAAGAATGGTAAATATACCAGTAAAAAGAAGAGAAACATCATAATAGTGGCAAACCTGATGTATAGGGGGATACATAGCATTCAAGCATACTGGGCATTCTAGCAGTTCGCGTACATTGCTAACAACAGATGTATTGGGCTTTGGTTGGAATGGTGTTGGATCATTCCCATGTTCACCCAAATCCATCATGGATTCACCTTTAGGTGGATCAATTATCTCAACATCATCCACCATACTATCAAAGTAACTGCTGCCAGCTGCCATGACTTTAATTGTCCACCCAGCCTGACCAAATGGAAATTAAAAAAAAATTAAATAATATTAAATTATAGATACCTCCAGTATTTTTTTCATTAGTGAACACTTTCGTTATCATAATTAAGTTTTATATACTTAAAAATTCAACAAAAGCAAGAACTAGCAAATTGTAAGCCATATTTCAGTAAGGATCCTCATATGACTACGTTCACCAAATCTATATAACCATATATTAAGGAAAAGAATATTCACTAGTTACAGGCATAAAATTTACACCGAAAGGATTGTTTGCTTCATTTTTTAGCCTGGCTTGATTGGACATAAGCAGCTTGATTGGACATAAGCACACCAATATCACCAAATTGGCAAATTCCATTGGCAAGTCAGGTTAAGCCACGTAGGAACTAACTTGACTTTTCCCAACGTAGAAAAGTGCTCTAGGTCTCAATTAAAAGATTTAGGTTTAGTTTGGGATAACTTTTTTATTGCTTTGTAAAGTTGATTTTTAGTGCAAATATTTCTTTAAAAAAGGGGAAAAAAGGTGGTCTAAAGTTCTCCCAAACAAAACCTTAATAATGCTTAGGCGTTCTCTCTCTCAATGTATATTAATAAATTAAGGAATAAAATAATTTGAGAGAACTTACATGATTAATTAAACGATAATAAATATACTACATATTTGACAAGACATACAATCTAAGCTAAGCATTTTAAAATAAAAGGACGCTCAATAACTAATAGATAAAGATAAGTTTATATTTGGCTTGAGCAGACAGCAGCTCAGGCTCATGACACATGCGAAAAGAAATATAAGTTTATATTTGGCATCAAAAATAGTTACAAATACAATTTAAATTTTGAAATTGGATAGGATTAAAAATAATACAAATTAATCAAATGACTTAGAACTAAATGATGGTCAATTCACGGGCCTTAACATAAATTACTCCAAGAAATAAAGACCACCTTCATATACTATAAATGAAGCCACTTAAAAGTCTATCCTCAAGATAGTAACCCAAAATTTTTCTCTCTAATTTTGCTCAATAGTGTGAACATCAATAAAACAACTAAGAAAAAATAATAAAAGACAACATTCAAATTAATTCGCCGATCCTCATGTAACAACTGAAATGATAATTAATGTCAATTATTTATATTTTGTGGTCGTATTGGAACATTTTATTTCCAGTTAGTTAATATTAAATGACAGCAACAACGGACAAAAAGGCTATTCTACTTATAATGGAACATTTTATTTATAGTCGGTGTTGAATAACAGTAGCAATAATGTAGGAGTCAATTTAGTTTGCAAACATTTTGAGGAAAATAAAATCTTTATAGAAAAACATAATTGATTTGGTTTTTTCACATCATAAAACTGCAGCTATTGAAATGTCAATCCAAGTTATGATAGCTACCGTATACATATCAAAAAATATTAATGGATAAAACAAACGAGAGGAAAAAATAAGGTTAGATTTGTTGATGATCATATTAGATAGCACAGAAATCATTAATACTGTGGCATGAAATTAAAAAAAAAAAACAATATGGAGCATATATTATGCTTGCATTTAGACTGCATAATGACATGTTTTGAAATAATAATGAACAAGCATAGCCTTAAAAATAATATTATTTACAAACAAAATTCAAATGTGGGACTGGTTGGAATATTTTGGCTCAAAATTATATGTGAAAATATAACAGACCCTTCTAGCAATAAGGATTGAACCCAAAGAGCAGTATAAAAGAGATAAAATGCTAATTCTCTCAAGTGTATTGAACTGCAGAAAATTGGTTGAACTCCTTAGACAGAGAAGGGTGAGTCAAATAGAGTTTAGAGAAAATTCCGTGAGATAAAAGGAAAATTCCAAAGAGAATCTTAGTCTACGAAAAGAGTTTGATGGGATGACATTACAAAAAGCGCAAAATTGCACAATGCCTATGCTGGACTAGTGACCCCATATCAATGAGAAAAAAGTCCGACAGTATAGAATTGGTTATATAATATGATTATATAGAAAATACATGATTTGGACTACGTGAGGCTAGTTGTGCACCGATCAAGTTAGGCTTATAGGCGATTCCCAGTTGGGAAATTCAAACAAATCAAGGACTAGGAGTATGCACACTTAGCAAGTTTTTCTGATAACCAACCCTAATTATTTTGCGAGTACTCAGGGCAAATAGCCTTAGCAAATAGACAAATTTATTAGTCCTCCATAAGGGCTGTCAAAAAAGCTTGTTGTTCATAAATAGCTCGTGTTTGACACTTAGCACGCTCTTTGATGTTAGGCTCATTTATAGGCCTAGTCCTCAGACAAGCTTAGTAACTCAATGTTTGGTGGCGAGTAAGCAACTAAGCATGAAGACTTTGTCAAGTAAATAAGATTTGTCTTTGAGCAACTCAAGGTTTTAGGAAACTTAAAGCTTGGTGAGTTATAAGTTGTAGATGGTCACGTTGGTTCACAACTGATAACTTCTTGAACCCGATTTAAGCTCTCTCAATAACTTACTTGACCTAACACAAGTAAATATGGTGTACACCAGTTTCCTAGTTCTTTTGTCCCTTCTGATAAGCCAAGAATGATAGTATAATTAAAGTTTCTATAAATCCAATTCAACCTAAAAGACTTAGGCTTGATCTATAGTGTTGGCTCTACAGAGTTAACAGGTATTTGGCACTTGGTCAACAAAGCAGCAATAGTCTCTATAAATGTGAGGCTCATGACTCATTTGAAAGACTTTATGCTTTGCTTCAATCATTATTCTTGCTTCAAAGGAACTATTTTCCACTGTAACGATGACGAAGTTTGAATATCATTCAAGCTTTATTATTGTTAATGAGATCATGAGGAAATACAAGGACATTGTGATGTGCAGAGCTTCAATCTGCTGAAGGATTTGCATCAGTGGAGACGCCTCTACTAAAGAAAGTGAATATCAACTTCGAACTGCGTTGGTAGAAGTTGGGTCCTCCCACCAAGCAAGATGACTATTGAAAAGCCAATACATCTGAGGGATTTATAGCTTAAACGAAAAAGTTTCTATTGAAAGAGTGGAATCATTGATCACAGTCCTTGAAGGAGCACTAGAAAACAAGGTAGCAATATAGGTTAGAACCGGAACTGATGAGGACATCGGACAATATCGACGAGTCTATCAGCGTAGGAATCATAGATCGATGGCTACGATTCACAGCCATTATTTTTTATGTATTTATGTTTATTTACTAATTATGATTGTACCCTTTCTTTTGAGTTTGTTTGAGTTGTAGCCCAAGAGGCATTTGAGTCGTTATTATTTTATTTTCTAGGCCTATATATTGTTATCTCTTATATTGTAATGGAATGATGAATGATTACTAATGAAAATTCAGCTTTCTTGTTCTTGATCTTTTTGTGAGTTCTTGAAAGGAAAAACCCTAGAGAGGGCCACGCATCACCTGTTAGCCGCAGGTGGATTCCGGGACTCGCGGTTAGTACTCGTAGTATTCTCTTATCGTTTCTTCCTTTCCCCTACATCCGGCCTTTTCCTTTTCCCCACACCCCGCCGATCTTCTCCCCCACCGTCCCTATTCTCTTATTAGCTTGAACCCTCCCTATCCAAACTCCTGTTGGCCTCCCTTGGTCCAAAGTAAAGTGAAGTAAATATAGTGTAAATAATTTTCGTTCATTTTTTTAGTAAACCAAACTCGCCCAATTTTGAGCGAGAATCGTTTACGCCACAAGTAATCTTGCTTGACCACCGGACACCACCACCGCCACCCGCCATTTTTGGACTTTACACTACATTCAGTACTTAAAACCAAACAAAAAAAATCATTCACCTGCATTTACTTTACATTCATCCAAATAACTTCAAAGTATTCATTTTACACTGCATTTTTTTACACTGCATTCCTTTTTTAGTCAACCAAACAGCCCCTTAGTTAATCTTTAACATTCCACAAGGTTATGAGGAGATGACTCTCGCAATGCTTGGGCCTACTTCAGTAAAAGGCGAGGGCGAGTTCCCAAAAGTCATTCAACCAAAGGGTGAATAAGCCAAGGGTGCAAAAGAGCCAACAAGGAGCAGCTTGCTTACTGAAGATGTTGAAGTCGTTAGTTGAATTAACCATGCTAGCGATGCTTTGGAGTTAAGCTAATAACGACTTCTACAATCGCTGCATCTTTTGATAAGGAAGAAGGTCAAGCTCCAATGAGAAGTTAGGATATTTTAAGGGAACTTTCCCACAATAAATTCACCTAGGGGTCAAGGATGAAGATCCCTAATAATATGTTTGAGGAGCTAATTTCCGAATTTGAGTCTTTGAAGAAGCTGGCAAGAAATTTTAAAGTCAAAATGGAGGCTAACAATGCTAAAATGACAGGAAAATGAAATTCACAAGCTTTGAAGTCTCCAATTCAGTTGACAGGGAGCGTCTCAATTAAATATAAGTCATGCATAACGAGCAAGCTCGTTGCCTTGTCGAGCAACCCAACAGAATCACCAAAAGCCTTTGTCAAAAGATCAATGAGTTGTGGATGAAATTAATCTTAACGAAAAGTTTTCATAAACTTCTCAAATTAGTCAATTTGCAACGGGTGAGAAGTTCATTAAGCACCAGTTAATTTTAAGAAGCGATCATGCTGTGAGATAGCCCTAGAAACAAGGTTTCACTACCTGTATGGAGGAGCTTCAACATTGATGTATGATAAGATCAGAATTATTCTACTCTTGCAATATATCCTCACAGAAGCTAATTTTGTGCTTTTTTACTTGATGCACCTTGTTAAGAGAGGAATTATAATAAAATTTTGAGATAAAAGTTTCCTTTTTTATTTTCTTTTATTTGAACTTGATGTAATGAATCTTTAAATTAAATAAAAAATCTTTTTTTTTCTAAGAAATTACTTGTATTTATAATACTACCTTTATATCTTACTTTTTTATTATATGCATGTACTTAACCTCATTATTTGTGAAGTTACACTTATTTATGCACTTGTCTTTGAAAAAAAGTCAATAATTTGAAATCG